TTTTTAATTGTCTATGGATTTTAGTTGGGATATTTTAAATTTTGGGCCAAAGTTGTGTAATTCTTTTAAAAATTTTAAATTTTGTATTGGAATGTTTTTTATTTTTGGCTGTGCACCGCCCTGAGTCCAGCAGGAGAAGGGTGGTATACAAATTTAATAAAAATAAATAAATAAAATAAATTGTTACAGATAGATACAGATGCAGATTAACAGAGTTGGAAGGGACCTTGTAGGTCATCTAGTCCAACCCCCCACCCAAGCAGGAGACCCTACACCATTTCTGAAGATGGCAGTCCAGTCTCTTCTTGAAAGCTTCCAGGGATGAAGCTCCCACAACTTCCGAAGGCAACTTCTGTTTCACTGGTTGATTGTTCTCACTGTCAGAAAATTCCTCCTTATTTCTAGGTTGAATCTCTCCTTGGTCAGTTTCCGTCCATTATTCCTTGTCTGGCTTCAGGTGCTTTGGAAAATAGCTTGACCCCCTCCTCTCAGCGTCAACCCCCCATATATTGGAAGACTGCTATCCTGTCTCCCCTGGTTCTTCTCTTCAGTAGACTAGCCAGGCCCAGTTCCTGCAACTGTTCTTCATATGTTTCAGCCTCCAATCCTGTAATCATCTTGGTTTTGTTTTTTTTAAAATTTGATTTATATGCCGCCCTTCTCCGGAGACTCAGGGCGGCTTACAATGTGTTAAGCAATAGCCTTCATCCTTTTGTATATTTATACAAAGTCAGCTTATTGCCCCCACAACTGAGTCCTCACTTTACCTACCTTAGAAAGGATGGAAGGCTGAGTCAACCTTGAGCCTGGTGAGATTTGAACTTGCAGTAATTGCAGGCAGCAGATGTAAGTAGATGTTAATAACAGTGCTTTAGTCTGCTGAGCCACCAGAGGTCCTTCTCTGCACTCTTTCTAGAGTCTTAACATCTTTTTTATGATGTGGTGACCAAAACTGGATTCGGTACTCAAGGTGTGGCCTTACTAAGGCTTTATAGAGTGGTTTCAGTACCTCCCTTGATCTTGACTCAAAGGGATACCTTTGTTATTGCAATTTAGGATTGCATTGGCTTTTTTGGCTGCCGCTGCACACGGCTGGCTCATATTTAGCTGGTTGTCCACTAAGACTCCAAGATCCCTCTCACAGTCACTGCTATTAAGCCTGGTTTCCCCCAGTTTATATATGTACTTTTGGTTTTTCTTGCTTCTCTCCTGGATTAGTTTCCCCAGTTCCTTCTTTGCTCACTGTGATTGGGGAATAAAACTCCACATCAAATAGCAGGTTTTTGAGAAGACAGGAATTCCTACGACCTGCTAAAGAAGAGCAAACAGGAATGCAGACCAAAGGTACGATCTGAAAAGAAAACAAGGCCATCACAATCTTTTTTAGAAGCTCTTGGATCTGATCCCTTCATAGGCAAGAGTAGCTCTTGACATTTATGGGGCTTTGTTTGATTGCTTCTTTGTTTTTTACGATGTTTGCTCTTTGTTGAATTGTTTTCAAGAAACTTGTTTTGATCGCTATGGTAACTTCGGGTCTGCGACTGTGCAGCCAACAAATCCATGGACAGTTTTCAAACTGGAGTGGAGTCCCCAAGGAATTGGTCTTGCAAACAATAGTTTTGCCTGTGTTTATAAACATTCTGGAGTAAATGAAGAGCAGGAGGAAGCCAAGTGCGCTGATGATTCCAAATCGTCTGTAGTAAAACAAAAAAACAGATTGGAAACAGCTCTAAGAGAATCTCTCTCCAAATCGAAGCCAACGGATCTCAAGATGACAGAATAAGAGAATAACACAGTTGGAAGGAACCTTGGAGGTCTTCTAGTCCAACCCCCTGCTCAAGCTGGAGACCTAATTTATACCATTTCAGACAAGTGGCTATCCAGTCTCTTCTTAAAAGCCTCCAGTGATGAAGCACCCACAACTTCTGAAGGCAAACCATTCCATTGGCTAATTGTTCTCACTATTAGGAAGTTTTTCCTTAGTTCTAGGTTGCTTCTCTCCTTGATTAGTTTCCATCCATTGCTTCATGTCCTGCCTTCAGGTGCTTTGGAAAACAGAATGAGCCCCCACTTCTTTGTGGCAGCCCCTCAGATATTGGAACGCTACTAGCATGTCACCCCTAGTCCTTCTTTTGACAAATGCAGTTCAGTGTCAACAAGTCCAAAGGAAGCATAAAACCTGATTTAGGTTAGCAGGGACTGTTCAGAAAGTGAGCATGTCAACTCAAGCATGTGGCTGCTGCAAGCAGACCAATTCCATACGTGGATTCATTCAGGATGGAAATGAAAATACTCAAAACAATAAGGTCTTTATAGACGTGGTGAGAGACCACCGTTGACATTCCTGGAGCTGTACAGATTTGTACAGCTCTGGTGACCACAGACACCTAAAGAGAGATCTTATAAGGCTGGGGAAGGTGCCTCCAAGAGCAACCCCAACAGCTGCGTTGTGACTGCAGGCTTTTTTAGCTTCGACAGGAGGAAGTTGAAGAGGTCTTTAAAGGTTTGCATTGTACAAAAATATGGATGGAGGGATGCTTTTCCCCCGTCTCTCAAAATATCACTTACCCTACCCATAGAACTAAATCCTAGGGGGATTCAGAACCAATAAACCCAACCCAGGATGAAATGTGGAACTCACTTCCCTGAGAGGTGAAGGCCACCAGTTTAGAGAGCTTGGAAGGGCGAATGGTCCTCCTCCCAACGGAGAAGTAGCGGCTTGTCTTCGTGGCTGTTTACGAGCTCCCGAATCATGCAGACCGTGGAAGTGGACAGTGGCTCTCGTCTCCCTGAAGACCTGAAATGCACGTAGTTGGCCGGTGTGTTACACAGAAAGATGGTTTGGGGGCTCTTACAATTTTTGATAAACCCCTCTTCCTCCCTCCCTCCTTCCCTCCCTCCTTCTCTCGCCCTCTCTCTCACACACACACTCCCTGTCTCTCTCATGACCATCAGAGTCCCAAGTGAGATGCAGCCTTAAAATGCTTACAGAAGGGCAGAGAGAATTGGAGTCTCTTGGCTCAAGAAGCCTAAGACCATGGCTTATATTAGATATACTGACTGGTTGGATTAGAATTCTGTCTGTGGAAGCAAATGGACCCTTGTTACTTCCTGGTTTGCCCCCAAGGATACCCACCCACCCACCCATCTTAACGATCCAGCCCATGCTTCTTGAAGAGCCGCCCACCATAAGCACACAGAGTCCATCTTGCTGAGTGCCTGGCGGGGAAGCCTTGTTTTCCCAGGCACAACACGTGGAGGGGAGGTGTTGGGACATTGGTGTGGTTTGCTTTTAGCTTCTGGGAGGAACATCCCCTTTTGCCACAGGAAGCAGCATTGCTGACACTGGACCGCAATGCTCCCCTGTATCCTTTCCTGAGCAGGGAAACAAGGGAGTTGCCAGTCAACCACCAGCATGGGAAACTATGCCAGTTGGCATCCCTTCCACCCAAATGCGGAGTCGGTGAGCCAGAGAGACTACTTAAGTGGTAGTAAGGAAAGGGTGAAGTAGGGGGTGGGGCTGCTGGGTTCTGTTGTAGTTGGCACTGGCTTCCAGGTCCATGGCGGACGTTTTCAGGCCATGCTGGCACTTGGCATTGGCAGTTCTGATGCCAACCAAGAAGATCCTTCCTGCTCAGCCATTTGGGCATCTTGTCCTCTACAGAAATTTCCAGATTAGCAACTTCTCGGACTTTTGCATAGGAGTTGTGTCACAAAATATATGAATGAGTACAAACACATGAAGTTAGGGGGATTTTGATCTCAATTGTTAACACAAATCTGGCGAAAAAAATCACAGTTGTTAACAGTGTAAACGTGATGGCCAAGTCCAAAAATACATATTTTGGCAATTTAAGAAGAAGTTTGGTTTTCTTAGGTCAGCATAGACAGTCATCCTATGCCGATATAAAAAAATCAAAACTGCAGCGTCAACCAGGGTCTTCAAGAGACATGGTCTTTGCTGATTTTTAAAAGGGTCTTTATATTATAAAAAGCCCAGATTTAATAAGGTAGTTGCATATTAATACTGTATGATCTTTTTTGTTAAGCTTTATTTTACTTTTATCACTATTATATGTCCATTTGCATCTTCCTGTTGAATTGTTTTCGTTTTGCAAATTTACAAATCAAAAAGTATAAAAAGGCCCTGTAGTGTAGCTTTGGGGGCGGGGTGGAAACACCCCCCCAAATAAACTTCAGGTAACTTTGCAGTAGGCTTGGTTTAAAACAGTGTTTCTCAACCTTGGAAGCTTGAAGATGGGTGGACTTCAACTCCCAGAATCCCCCAGCCAGCAGCGCTGGCTAGGGGATTCTGGGAGTTGAAGTCCACCCATCTTCAAGCTACCAAGGTTGAGAAACACTGGTTTAGAAGGTAATAAGATCCTAGTCTTGCAAGCAGTCTTTCTATTTTTCCTAACCCCCCCCCTCCCCGTGCATTTCTAGTGATCCAGTAGATCCAGTAAATATGGAGATCCGGTAAATGAGTAGCTGACTTGTTTTGGATTAACAGCTTCTGAAGTTATTTCAAGAATACTTGTCGATCGAAAGGTCGGCAGTTCAGCGGTTCGAATCCCTAGTGCCGCGTAATGGGGTGAGCTCCCATGACTTGTCCCAGCTTCTGCCAACCTAGCGGTTCGAAAGCAGGTAAAAAATGCAAGTAGAAAAATAGGGACCACCTTTGGTGGGAAGGTAACTGTGTTCCGTGCGCCTTTGGCATTGAGTTATGCCGGACACATGACCATGGAGACATCTTCGGACAGCGCTGGCTCTTTGTCTTTGAAACGGAGATGAGCACCGCCCCCTAGAGTCAGGAACGACTAGCACATATGTGCGAGGGGAACCTTTACCTTTACTTACCTTTAATAGTGGCAACTATTCAACTATTTATTATTTAATATCTTTAATCTTAATTTTTGATGGTTTACCACAATTTTTAAAAGCAAACAAAGACCTTCTTGCCAAGACTTGTCTCCAGCGGTGCCTTTTCTCTCCAAATTCAGGTCGCTGGATGGTCGGCTGCAGGTCTCCCATCGAAAGGGTCTCCCACACGTCATCTATTGCCGGCTGTGGCGGTGGCCAGACCTTCATAGCCACCATGAACTGCGCGCCATGGAAATGTGTGAATACGCATTCAACATGAAGAAGGACGAAGTGTGTGTGAATCCATATCACTACCAAAGAGTGGAAACACCAGGTAGGGCCAACCCAGGAGCCCCTAGGGAAGGGGGGGAGCGTAGGGGTCTCATTGCCAGAAACCCAGAAGCCTCAAAGTGGGGCTGCATTTGTGACCGGCTGCTTTTGTCCTCAGTATTACCTCCGGTTTTGGTCCCACGACATGCGGAAATTCCAGCCGAATTCCCTCCGCTCGACGATTACAGCCATTCCATTCCCGAGAACACGAATTTCCCAGCTGGCATCGAACCTCAGAGTAACTACATTCCAGGTATTGTGTCCCCAGGAAGAAGAGAGAGAGAGAGTGGGAGGGGGTTTCCTTCCAAGCCCAGGAACCTCTCTTCACTTTGGCATGGAGGGCTTCAGGCAGTGGTGAAATTCAAAAATTTTCCCTGCTGGTTCTGTGGGTGTGGCTCGGTGGGTCATGTGACTGGGTGGGTGTGGCCAACTTTTTTTTAACTTTTTAAAGCATTTTTTAACTAAACACTTTTTTAAAAAAATTGTGATGATCTCGCAGCACAGCTGATTGTCACAGCTGATCACTGGAATTTTTTTTATATACTTTTTTTAAAGCATTTTTTTTACTACCTATTCGCCCCAACCGGTAGTAAAAAAATGCTTTAAAAAAGTAAAAAAAAAAAAAGGTTCCGACGATCAGTGTGACAATCAGCTGTGCCGCGCGATCATGGGAACCTTTTTTTTTTACTTTTTTAAAGCATTTTTTTCTACCGGTTCGGGCAAACCGGCTCGAACTGGTAGCATTTCACCCCTGGCTCCAGGTTTTCTCACAGGCAGCAGGCAAAGAAGAAAAATGCCCCTTCTCTTCTCCCCTCCTGCTATGTTACCCCGCTAATTATGGGTGTGAGAGGAGGATCCTTTTGAAAAGTATTGGGAGACCTTCCTCCCTTCTGGTGGACTTCCTGCTCCAGGGCCTCCGTCTGGTTATCGACACCCCCAGCTCAGTTTCTTTCCAGCCCTGACCCTCCACTATTCCTTGGTGGGCGCCACATCTGCTAGTGCTTATTTCACAGCCAGGTGGTAAGAAAGATTTGGGTTATAAGCCCTTCCCTTATTTTTTTATTTTGCAAAGACCAAACCTTGACCTGAGTTGTTTACTCTTTTGTGCTTGTCTTTTGGGTCTCTCTAGCTGTTACATTTTGTAGGCAAGAGGAGGAAGAGGCCTTCTCCTTCATGGTCCCAGGCTACAGATGCCTTCCCCCCCCCCTTCTCGGAGCTCTCATGACTTCTCTTAGAAACGCAGCCAAGAGGCATCTCCCTTTGCCAGGCTTTTAATAATTTGTTAACGTTTTTATTAGTTTTGAGTCATGCTTTCAAACCTGGTATTTTGGATTTTGCTTGGCCTATCTTGGGACCTTGACTGAATAGAAAAACAGACTGGGAGTCTTGATAAATAGCTCGGTGCGGTTGAGAATGGCACGGCCGTTTTGTAAAAGCTCTATTTTAATTTTCCTCCCCCTCTTCAGAGACACCGCCTCCCGGATATCTGAGCGAGGATGGAGAAACCAGTGACCATCAAATGAACCACAGTTTAGATGCAGGTAAATCAAACAACCAGAAATGATTTTTGTGGGATTTTAGAGGCATTGTTCTCTTGTCTCGCAACTCATCTCTGGCCAGGTCTTGAAAACTCATCCCATCCCTAAGAGGATTCCTTCCTCCTCCCTCTTCCTGGTCTCTGTGATCTTGCCTCCTCCCACCACTTCCCCCACCCCCTGGTCTAAATCAGGGGTCTCCAACCTTGGCAACTTTAAGCCTGACGGACTTTTTTATTTATTTATATTTCTATACCACCCTTCTCCCAAAGGACTCAGGGCGGTGTACAGCCTATTAAAAGCACAAGACAAACATCAATTAAAATAATTTAAAATTATTAAATAATTCGGCTCAATTTAAAACCCCAGAAATTTAAAACACCCAATTTAAAATTATTATGTTGATAGCCCGGCCTAGCGGAACAACAGCTCCCAGACTTCAATTCCCAGCTAGCAACTTTGCTAGCTGGGGAATTCTGGGAGTTGAGGTCCGCCAGGCTTAAAGTTGCCAAGGTTGGAGACCCCTGGTCTAGATCATTCTCTCCTTCTCTGCCCAGGAGTTATTTTTCCTGCTGCAGCTGATGTTGACAAGGAAAGCAACACTCCTGGGTTCAATTCCAGCCATGTAGGGAGGAGATGCACATTGAACAGGGCTTAACCCCAGCTTCTTAGCTTAGTTAGGCAGCAAAAAATAAATCAAATTAAAAAAAAAACCCCTCTTCGATGGGCGATTCCTCAAGAAAAATATTAGCCTGAGAGAGCCACAGCTCATGGCTGGGGAGAATAGCACTTGTACTGCTGATATAAGCCACAAAACATGACAACGGTATCTGAAATAGCTATTTATCATCAGAAATGACTGAATGGGAATACAAATTCTGCTTCTCTCCCAGTTTAGTTCCATCTTTGCCATCTGCAGTTCTCCAGAAGAAAAAGTGGAGAAGTCCATAAATAGAGGGAGGCAGATATTTCTTGAATTTGTTTGGCAAATGAACGTTGTTAAAGTTGGGGGTTTTTTGTTGTCACAAGTCTAAATTAGAGGAGGTGGCATAGCTTTGCTTTCTGCAATGTTCACCCAGTTCTAGAGCAATCGGGACACACCGAAGGGAGCAACAGCATTTCAGATCCCTTTTGGGACTCTAGAACTGTAACATAGAATTTCCTTGAGGAAGTGTTGTGGAGATTAATGAGACCCGCACTTAAAACTTAACCAATTTGTACACTGCACCAAAACACTTTGGCTTAGCACATGAAGACAATTCCTGTGGTTTATTCAACAGATCACAATTATGCAAACTTTGGGTTAGTGCAATGTGTGATCTGAATCACATTCTGTCTCAGAGTTACTTACTGAATTTCCTTCTGCCCCGCTAGGTTCGCCAAATTTATCTCCGAATCCGATGTCTCCTGCACACAGTAATCTGGGTAAGTGTAGCATGATGTGGAATCTTTGATTTTTTTCCCCCCTGGGAGCTGGAGGCAGAGAAGGCAAAGAGGGTGCTGCAAAACTGTAGCTTTAATTGGGAACTGTTGTGAAAAAAAGACTCAACATTTAGCATTCTCATTCCACTTCCACTCCCAGTTAATAGATTTATCAGGTTGTATTTTCTCTTGAAGTTCTGCCACCTGTTTCTCTCTGGGACAAGATGAATGTACGTATCCTAAGGAAGCAATCCACTCTGAGATCATTTCCAGTTCTCTTAAAAAACTATTTTGGTTCCTGATTGAGAAAACAGATGTGCGGCAGCAAGCCAGCTCTTGAATCTTGCATGAATATGATTTAAGTAACAAATGTCTTGTGGCATTTAGCTCGTTCTTGTCAACATCTACTGACAAGAGGCTCACAGACACAAATAACATTTTGCTCAACTCGGCTTGGCTCGGAGATGCTGTCCACTCAACCTCTATCAGGCTGCAGTCCAAGACCTCATCCACCATTCAGTTGTATTTATTGACAAATCTGGAAGTTGTTGTCATTTTCAGTCTTTCAACCCCATGTTGGGTCATCCAATGAAACTTTAGGAGTGGTGGATTCAAGGCAGATGCACTGATGTTCTTCACACACTGCAGAGTTAAAACTAAAATATGGTGGGAGCTGATACCTTTGATGACTTTAAAAGAGAATTATGCCAACGAATGGAGAACAAAGCTGGTCATCAAATGTCTTTCCGTAGCAATTTGCTTCTTACTTTGGGTACAGAAGGTTCATGTATTTTGCTGGAATGTCCTTGGTCTCATCTTCTCAAAATTATGAGCCCTGGTGACACAGCGGTTAGAATGCAATATTGAAGGCTAATTCTGTCCACTGCCAGGAGTTCGATCCTGACCGGCTCAAGGTTGACCCAGCCTTCCAGCCTTCCAAGGTTGGTAAAATGAGGACCCAGATTGTTGGGGGCAAGAGGCTGACTCTGTAAACCTCTGAGAGAGGGCTGTAAAAGCACAGTGAAGTGGTATATAAGTCTAAGGGCTATTGCTATTGGCCAGGGTAGGAGCAAAAGCTGGACTTCCAGGCTGATCCACCACCTTTTTATATGTCTATTCTAATTAGTAGCAATTATCTCCAAATCTTTGATAAAAATTGCTTTCGGACAAGCTTGCCATGCATCATCACTCTGCAATGTGGCAGCAGGTCCAAACTCCATCATCAGCCAGCTGCAACTCTTCCATGCCTTGGAATGATGTTGAATGACCAGCAACATCTTTGGACAGGGGTGAGATACATGAAGATGGTTGCCACTGCAATGTGACTAAAGCGTCTCTACTTCTTCATGCGATGGTGCACATACCAAAGTCATGGTTAGTTGTGCCACTGTGGTCATCATCTTCATTTTCTGACCGTTCCCACGCCACTGTGCACAGCATGGGAGAGTTTCCCAGAACATCCTTTTTCTGGACCAGTGAATTCTGCACATTGCTAAGAAGAAGCCAGAAGGTGGCTTGATTTTGACCTCACAATTTGTGTGTATCTGCCCGTCACACTTTGCAAACCAAGTGCTATATTTTATATTTGAAAGCATAATGTCAACCCAAAATGATGGTTTATTCAAGAAACCATGATTTGATTAACTGGAGGGCATGTATTGAATGTGTAGCTTGATTGAGGGATGCCTTTAGAACTGAGTATAGCGCATCATTAGCAATATAATTGCTTGTAATGCAACCTTTCCTCCTCCTGGATCTTACTAACTCCTTGAAGAACTAGAAATACAGCTACTCCTCAACTTACAACCACAATTTCTGATCCTAAGCAAGGAAGTTAAGTGAGTCTCACCCGATTTTTTCCCCCCTGCTACAATACTGTTAATAATATTTAACAGAATAATAGAGTTGGAAGGGACCTTGGAGGTCTTCTAGTCCAACCTGCTTGCTCAAGGAGGAAACACTATACCATTTTTAGACAAATGGTTGTCCAATCTCTGAAGCTCTAGAAAGCATGCAGAGAAGAACAGCAAAGATGATTAGGGGGCTGGAGGCTAAAACATGAAGGACGGTTGCAGGAATTGGGTAGGTCTAGTGTAGTGAAAAGAAGAGGAGACGTGATAGCAGTCTTCCAATATTTGAGAGCTGCCACAAAGAAGAGGGGTTCAATCTGTTCTCCAAAGCACCAGAAGACAGGACAAGAAGCAACGGATGGAAACTAATCAAGGAAGGAACTAACCTGGCATTAAGGAGAAATTTCTTGACAATGAAAACAATTAATCCATCAAACTTGTGTTCAGAACTTGTGGGTTCTCCATCACTGGAGGCTTTTAAGAAGAGATTGGACAGCCACTAGTATGGAATGGTATAAGGTCGTCTGCTTGAGCAGGTGATCAGACTAGAAGACCTCCAGGGACCCTTCCATCTCTGCTCTTCTGTTATTCTATTATTCTGACTACCTGCACACATTTTTAAGCGGCTGGCAAAACTGTACACGTGAGAAGAAGCAAACTTTATCCTCTCCACTTTTTTCTTGCAGATCTCCAGCCGGTCACCTATTGTGAACCGGCCTTCTGGTGCTCCATTTCCTATTATGAGCTCAACCAGCGAGTGGGAGAGACATTCCACGCTTCTCAGCCCTCAATGACCGTGGATGGATTCACGGACCCATCAAATTCGGAGCGCTTCTGCCTCGGCCTGCTTTCCAATGTCAACCGCAACGCAGCTGTGGAGCTCACCAGGCGGCACATTGGTAGCCTCCATTGCCTTGTCTTTGGGAGTGGGGGCTGGAAAGGGGGGCAGGGGGTGGAAGGGACTCAGGCCCTGCGTAAACAATGGACTCGGCCAGGAGAGTTTAGCCTTTAGGACACCATCACTTTTTTGCTTACCTTAAGTTGGGGGTGGGGAGCTATGGCCCCTTTATGATCTGTGGACTTCAACTCCCAGAGTTCCTCTCAGGCATTCAGGAAGTTGAAGTCCACAGGTTGTAAAGGGGCCATAGTTGCCATGCTGGCTCAGGAATCCTGGGAGTTGAAGTCCACAGGTCATAAAAGAGGCCCCTGCCTAACGTGATGTTGCATATTTAATTACACAAGGCCGTCTGGCTTGATTATCTTTCTTGTTTATATAATAAACTTAATGTTTGGAAGGCATTCACTTTTCTGTGATCTTCACACAGGCTCTTTAACTCTGTTTATTACAGCTGGCTCTCTCAGCAACACAAATGGAAAGCTGGACTCTCTTCCACGGGATGAGAGCAGCAACTTTACAAACCAGTCTATCAAAATCTCCTATCCAATTTTGAAAAAGTTGTGTTTCTTAGTGGTGCTCTGTTTGAGTCATGTTAGAAATCAACATTTTTGTCCAGCAGGCAGCGATTTCTTGGAGTCAATGAACAGAGGGAAACAAATAGAACTAGCTGCCATGCTTTGGAGATTCAAAAAAAACAACAACAACAACAACCCCAAACTCTGTTCCATCTGTAGTGATTTCATCAGTTTTGGCCTTTTTTAAATAATGGAGTTTCCATCAGTGCCTCTTCCTGGAGACTACAGAAAAGAGGGCTGACTTATTAGAAAGCCATTTATGGCCTAAGATAACTTGCATGTGATAGTGGCTACAGCACAGAGAAGGCACATTCCAGATGTTTCAGACTATACTTCCCATCAGCCTTTAGCCACGTTGGTGAGAACTTAAGCCCCAAATTCCTGAACGGCATCAAATTGCCTATCCCTGGGATGCAGAGTGGGTCAACTTCTGTCCAGCTCTCAATTTCTCCTCCCTGGGTGACCCAAGACAGGTAATTCAGCCCAGCCTTCTCACTGCATGGCCATCAGGATACCCAAAGGTGTTTTTCCAGAAGGCATCTGGACTTTCTTAGTTTTTCCTTGAAAATGTTTCACCTCTCATCCAAGAAGCTTCTTCAGTTCTGGATGTTTTCAAGAAAAAACCAAGAAAGTCCAGATGCCTTCTGGAAAAACACCTTTGGGATATCTTTGTGGCCATGCAGTGAGAAGGTGCCTTTTGGAAAAACGACCTGGACGATTGAGATTCTCCATAGATAGTCAAGATATGTTACCAAGCACCACATAAGTTGCTTTTTGGAAGAAGGGTGCAAAGCTCTTCCGTGCCTCTTGCTGCCAGAGAGTGGGGGGGAGGGAGGGAAGATCCAAAGGAGTCCTTCTGGGCTTTCAAAAAGAGATGGAGCTCTGTCTTTGCTGTCCTGATGCTGAGCCTCTGTTTTCTAGGGAGAGGAGTAAGACTGTATTACATTGGAGGGGAAGTTTTTGCCGAATGCCTTAGTGACAGTGCCATATTTGTTCAGTCCCCCAACTGCAACCAGCGTTATGGCTGGCACCCAGCTACCGTGTGCAAGATACCACCAGGTAATTCATTTTGACTCTGCTTCCCTTTGTGTTTTATGTTTTTCTCTGTCACTTCTGTCCAATGAGTTGGTCCAGAGGACTGACTCCGCAGAAGTGAATCTGTGCAGTGGAGAACCACAGTAGGATTTCCATAGGAGATTATGTCTTTTTTTTTATTATTAAAATTTTTTATCAAAGATACAGACAGTTTCTCCCTGCCTCCCTCCCATTTGTAAAAGACCTTATCCAGTTTTGCAAAACAATTTGCATTCATCTCCTTTTTGGATCGGTTTAAACTAGTTGATAGCTCTGTTGTTGGGTGTGATGGAGAATTAGAAGGAGATTTTTTGTATGCACTGGAGTTGCAAGGAGAATTATGTCCAAGAATCTCTGAATAAGGGGCAGATCTAGGTTTAGACCAGGAGTGAGCAACTATGGCAAGTGGACTTCAGTTCGGAAAAGTTGGGAATTCTGGGAGTTGAAGTCCTCAGCTCATAAAATTGCCCTGGTTGCCCACCCCTGGATTAGACCTTATCCAGTTGGTGTCCTTCAGATGTATTGGCACTGCAGTCAACATATGTATCAGTGGTGGGTTTCAAATTTTTTTACTACCGGTTCTGTGGGTGTGGCTTGGTGGGTGTGGCATAGCTTGATTGGCATGGCTTGGTGGGCATGGCAGAGGAAGGATACTGTAAAATCTCCATTCCCTCCCCATTCCAGGGGAAGGTTACTGCAAAATCCCCATTTCCTCCTGATCAGCTGGGACTTGGGAGGCAGAGAATAGATGGGGGCGGGGCCAGTCAGAATTTTTACTACCGGTTCTCCAAACTACTCAAAATTTCTGCTACCGGTTCTCCAGAAGTGGTCAGAACCTGCTGAAACCCACCTCTGATATGTATGCACAACTTAGATCTAGACAACAACACATTGCTTTTCTTTTTCCTTGCATTAAATCTCTGTATTCTCACATAGCTCAAAATCTTCCTTAGAATAATTGTTCAGCTGGACCCATGCAGGGAATCCTAAAAGGCGAAATACTACTATTGGTTTTATGATACACATCCAAATCTGAACAACTTCTATGAAGGAAGCCCAGTTTGAACCGCCTGTCTCTTTTCACTTTAAGAAAGATAGTTTCAGCCACTAAGTAATTTTTGGATTTCTTGGTTAAATCCTGTGCCAGAAGTTGTTTGTGCTGATGGGTTAGGTAAGTAGCAGTTTCTATTGAAGCTGACAGGAACATTTCAGATGATGAGCATTAAAGTAGGAAAGCAAAGCAGGTAGTCCTCGAGTTATGGCCACTCATTCAGCAACTGTTTGAAGTTAAAAAGGTATTAGAATAGAATAGAATAACAGCATTGGAAGGGACCTTGGAGGTCTTCTAGTCCAACCCCCTGCCCAGGCAGGAAACCCTACACCACTTCAGACAAATGGTTATCCAACATCTTAAAAATTTCCAGTATTGGAGCATTTACAACTTCTGCAGGCAAGTTGTTCCACTGATTAATTGTTCTGTCAGAAAATTTCCCCTTAGTTCTAAGTTGCTTCACTCCTTGATTAGTTTCTACCCATTGCTTCTTGTTCTATCCTCAGGTGCTTTGAAGAATAATTTGACTCCTTTTTCTTTGTGGCAACCCCTGAGATATTGGAACATTGCTATCAACTCTCCCCTAGTCCTTCTTTTCATTAAACTAGACATGCCCAGTTCCTGCAACCGTTCTTCATATGTTTTAGCCTCCAGTCCCCTAATCATCTTTGTTGGGATTTCTCTCTGCTTCCGTTTAATGGCCCACTTGTTTTAGGATTACCACAACAGCTGGGACTGCCTGGATTGGTGTGGCCAAGCTATGTGGTCCCCTGGCGTTGTAACTAGAGGACTTCCTGTATCCCATCATTTTACAGATCCCAACAGTAATAAAAAGAACAGCTTTAGCTTAGTAGAAACCTTTTTCTCTTTCTCAAAATTACGTGTCCTACTCTACTTTTCACTAGTTTTTTTGTTTTCTTCTTTTATTTGTGAAAAGCTTAACCAATTTAGCAATAAGAAACAGCTTGCCTTGAATATTTTAAAACACTTGGTCCTATGACTGAAGATGCACTTGAAAGATTTGAGTGTTGTCTCTTGAGATCAAACAAGCTATGAAAGTGCTAGAAATACGGAGCTGGCTTGGGGGAAAATCTGGTGCCGCAGACCTCATGAACTGCAATCGCAAATGTTTTTTTTTTGTGGTGTTTAATTTCAGAAAGAGCTGCCTGTGTGTTTGTGTGTGGTTTTAACCCAGGAATGTTGTGTCTCTTGCTCTTCCATGTCAGTGTAACTCTGGCCTTGATTGCAGATCAGCAGATCCTGCCTGCTGTTTTTTGGCGCTGGTTCAGAGCTGAAGCATGCAAGAGAGGCTGAGCCCTGAACCAGCTCCGAAAAGTAGCAGGCAGGATCTGCTGATCTGCAATTGAGGCCAAAAAAGCCAACATAATCAGAAGGATAGAATCATGTGAAGTGTTAATACCACTTTATAAGGCCTTGGTAAGGCCACACGTGGAATACTGCATCCAATTTTGGTCACCACAATATAAAAAAAGACGTTGAGACTCTGGAAAGAGTGCAGAGAAGAGCAACAAAGATGATTAAGGGCCTGGAGGCTAAAACATAATGAAGAACGGTGTCAGGAGTGGGTCTAGTTTAATGAAAAGAAAGATTGGGGTGACACAATAGCAGTCTTCCAATATTTAAGGGATCTTACAAAGACAAGGGGGTCGTGCTATTTTGCAAAGTACAAGACAGTAAGATAAGGAACAATAGATGGAAACTCACCAAAGAGTGATGCAACTTAGAAGGAAGGAGAAATTTCCTAATGGAGAGAGCAATCAGTAACAGTAACAGAGTTGGAAGGGACCCTGGAGGTCATCTAGTCCAACCCTCTGCTCACGCAGGAGACCTGTACTAGGGATTCGAACCGCTAACCTTTCTGATTGACAAACTCAGTGTCTTAGCCACTGAGCCACCTAGTCAATCAACCAATGCAAGCAATCAATTAGCCTTCAGAAGTTGTGGGTGCTTCCGTCACTGGAGGCTTCAGAACGGGTATCGGTGGGTTCCTCCCGGTTTGGCCCGGTTCCACCGAGCTGGTAGCGGTGACGGTATGATGTCACCAAACCGGTTCTGCCCCCCACACCTCCACCCCGTGTTGTTATTCCCTTTTATTTGGCCCCACCCCCAATCTCTTGCTGCCTCCTGAGTCCCAGCTGATGGCTAGAGGGGAAAAAACTGTTTAAACTCTTGCCAAGGGGCTTCAAAAACCGCCCTACAGCTGATCAGTGTTAAAAGAAAACAAATGAGTAGACCGGTGCCTGCAAAAATAAATGGGTAGATTGGTACAGCTCTGCAAGCAGTTAAAAGCCTGGTAGACCAGTACCTCTGCTAAATCCTAAAGAATTGTCACATGACCATCAAGCCATGCCCACAAAGCAAGCCACGCCCACAGAACCAGTAGTAAAAAATTGTAGAACTCACCCCTGACCGGTATGGACGGGAGATTGAATGGAGGCCAAAGGAAGCAGTTAAACTGGAAGGAGACATGTCTTTACTGACCACTTTGTGGTTGGGGTTCAGCGAGGTGGTTTTGCCACTCCTGCATATTAATTTCAGACCGGTTAAGAAATGAGAGGGTCCCCAAAGAAAGCTCTATTTTAATTTACGGGGTTACTTATACAAGGAGACCTCGACTTACAAAACCAGCTGTTTAGCGACCATTCAAAGTTACAGCGGCACTGAAAAAAAGTGACTTGTAACATGGTCCTCGGACTTACGACTATTGCAGCATCTCCAGGGTCACGTGAACAAAATTCAGGCGCTTGGCAACCGGGATGTATTTATGATGGTTGCGCCGTCCTGGTTATGTGATCAGCAGTTGCGACTTTCCCAGTTGGCTTCTGACAAGCAAAGTCAATGAGAAAAGATGGATTTGCTTAATGATCATGTGATTCATTTAACAACTGCAATGATTTGGTTAACAAGCGTGGTGAAGTAGGTTGTAAAATTGGGTGCAACCGCCTTGCTTTTCAATGGAAATTCTGATTTCAGTTGTTGTAAGTCAAGGAGTAGCTGTAGCTTGCTGGCAGGTGTCTAAAAAGACATTCTCAGTGGTTGCCCCATGGTGTACCATCCATCCCTTCTTCAAGGACCGAGTTCTGACCTTTCTCGCTCTGGGAATCCTTTTGACACCAAGGAGACCTGCTGAAGATCTTCTGGTCTTCAGCCATGAACACTAAATAGCCTTAGAGGCCCTGCCCACATCTCTTGATGTCATTATCGCTCTGAATACATGAGCATCTGCCCTTGAAGGGGCCACCCAAAATTCAAATAACAGAATAACAGAGTTGGAAGGGACTTTGGAGGTCTTCTAGTCCAACCCCGTGCTCAAGTAGGATTGTAAATCATGAGGTCTTTTGCTCCTTTATTGATCTCCTGGTAGATGCTGGCTATTACAAAAAAGATGCTGACTTTTTTGGCCCTCCCAAAAAATCTTTGAGAAAAACACTGAACTGTTGACCATGTTGGCTGCTATATTCTCAGCCTACATTGTCTAGGCTACAAGGCTCAATAAAAGGCAGGCCGACCTAGGGATGTCCTTATGGGATATCCTTAAATTTGTACAATAGTTTGCAGTGTTGATCTTGGTGAAGATCATACCAGGGGTCTCCAACCTTGGCAACTTTAAGACTTGTGGACTTCAACTCCCAGAGTTCCTTTGCTGAACTCCCAGAGTTCAGCAAAGCTGGCTGAGGAACTCTGGGAGTTGAACCTCCACAAGTCTTAAAGTTGCCAAGTTTGGAGACCCCTGTTCTATACTGCTGCAGCAAAACTGCACAGACACATCAGAAAATGCAACACCAATTTTTAAAAAGGACGCAGTGAGAACACAAAATTATAGGGTGGTCAGCTCAACATCCCTTCCAGAGAAATTGGTAGAAACAGCAACCAAATTAAGAAAAAAGAACGAGGCACAGTGTGGCCTACCCTCCCGGTGCTTCTCAGCCTTGGCTACTTGAAGATGGGTGGGCTTCAACGCCATGTTGGCTGTGGGATTCTGGGGGTTGAAGCCCACCCATCTTCAAGCGGCCAAGGTTGAGAAGCCCTGCCCTAACTTTTGCTGAAGGGAAATAAGCAGAGAGTCCATAAAAGTAAATCCTATCTCATCAACCTCCCACTTCTTCATTTTTTTTAAAAAAAAGAAATCTTTATTCCAGCAATCTCTAACTTGAAATTCCCCAGATCATCAGGTGTATTGGACTTTTGCTCTGTTTACAGAAACACAAAATAGAGTTGGGTTTTTTTAATAAAAGAAAAGCTTTAAAAGATTATCTGTCCTTCTGATAATTTCTGACCTTAGTGAATAGCTAACATTCATAATGATTAATATATCCCTGTTTGATGTCCAAGGTGGCCTCTTACAGAATTATTAACCCAGCAACTAACCAAATTAAAATATATTATGACATCACAGCTCTTTGGCATTTATCTGTTCGCTAGCAGAGCAAATACTAACCTGTATCTTGCAGCTTCCCAAACTTCACATTGCGAAGAAGAAGCTCTTGATTGATTATTTAATGGGAAATTTACTGTTGAAAGAAGGTTGTCTGCTTTTTAGAAAATAAGAGAGCTTCCATTTTTTTAAATTCTAGAGTTTTGTGTGTCCATTTCACTAACCTTGAGGGAGAGTATTGTGTCTTGTCTGTGGTGAGCTACTGAAGGACACAACAGCACACGAAGTGATGCTGTTTGGGAAATACCTGCTAACGTTGGTCCTCTTGCTGTCTTCGTTCTCTGTCCTCCACAGGGTGTAACTTGAAGATATTTAACAACCAAGAATTCGCAGCCCTCCTGGCTCAGTCTGTCAACCAGGGCTTTGAGGCCGTCTACCAGCTGACACGCATGTGCACCATCCGGATGAGCTTTGTCAAGGGCTGGGGGGCCGAGTACAGGTCAGCATTTCAGTCCGGGAATGGAAGGGGAGCTCTGGGGGGGGGGGGCAGAATTACTGGGGGGGGGGGGCGAAGGGGGCTTCCTGAGTCCTCAGCTCCTCTGGGATTGATTGGGTGATTGGGGGGCTGAAGGCTAAAACATACGAAGAACATTTGCGGGAATTGGGTATGTCTGGTCTAGTGAAAAGAAGGACTGGGGGAGACATGATAGCAGTCTTCCAATATTTGAGGGGCTGCCAGAAAGAAATCAAAAGGTCAACCTATTTTTGAAAGCACCTGAAGGCAAGACAAGGAAGAATGGATGGAAACTAATCAAGGAGAGAAGTAACCTGGAATTAAGGAGAAACTTCCTAACAGTAAGGAGAATTAACCAGTGGAACAGAAGTTGCCTCCAGAAGTTGTGGGTGCTCCATCACCGGAGGTTTTGAAGAAGAGACTGGACAGCTACTTGTCTGGAACAGTAGGGAGTCTCCTGCTTGAGCAGGGGAGTGGACTAGAAGACCTCCAAGGTCCCTTCCAACTCTGTTCTTCTGTTACTCCTGGGCCTCGAGATGGCTGGGTGAAGAGGCAGAGAGATGACCAGCAATGTTGCCCTCGAGATGATGCCGGAAGGAATGGTTTCAGCTGCAGTTCGGAGCGCTGGATGTTGTCCTCTTTATGATGGCCATTTAGGGAATTGGAGGGCAGGAAGGAATTTTTACAGGGAGGTAGAAGAGGGTTGGGAAGAGGCCCCAAGGTGGGAGAGTGGGGGTTGAATGCACGGCTTGGGTTGTACCAAGTGGAGAAAGCACAGGACCAAGACTCTGCCATCTGCAAGGACCCCAGGAAGAAAGCATCTCTGCCAGTGGGAGGGGGGGAGGGAAGGGGGAATCCTGGCCCTGCTTCCATGAGCTCCTGGGAACGGACGGCAGCTGTGGCTTCCCAGTGCTGCTTCCCATCTCGGCCAGGGAAGGAGTGGGTGCCCAGACCTCTCAAATTACCTCTCGCAGCTCCTCCAGATGTCTGGAGTCCATCTTGCTTTGCTGTTGGCTTGCTCCCTTCTCAGGCTGCTTTGGGCCTTGGCTGATGGCCAGGGTGTCTAACGAGCTCCAGATGTGCACGCTGCTGCCGCCGCTGCCTTGGGTGGGGCTGAGAGGCCTCGGTCCTTGAGAAGAAACAGCTGGCCAGAGCACGTTCTGTGCTTGTGCATTGCAACTGGCCCCCGGCTGCATGTTAAGCAGGGGTCAGCAGGACCTTGTATCCCTTGGTCTCCATCCCAGGGCTTCTCCCCTCCCTCCCTCCCTCCCTCCCTCCCTCCCTCCCTCCCTCCCCTTGGAGGAATCTCTCCTTGGGCCTTTCTGCTACGTGTCTTCGGAGGGGTCGCTCTGGGGCAGAACCTGGCTAAGCATGGCCTCTCACCAGGGGCTCTTCCCAGGCACTTGCAAACCACAGTTGGTGGCCTGACCGAGCCGAAGGCCTTCTTGCTCGGGTGTCTGAGTCACGCAGCACCAGCCTGATCTCTCAGGAAGCAGAACCGGAAGACGATGTGCTTCCTCCTCTATTGTTCTTCCAGCCGCTGCTGGCATTCAAGGAATGCTGCGGGGGATTTCTGAGGTTGTCAGTGGTCATCAAGACAACGGCCTGGACTTGGTGCAAAGGCCTCTTGAAGCCATTTGCACGTCTCCCATCACAGCATCTGGGAACAGCCAATGTCCTGGCTTTTATCTATTGTAAATCTCACATCTTTTAGGTTCCACCCAGTACTCTTGAGTTTAATGCGAGAGTTAATGGGAGATGGGGAGAGAAGGGTCCCTGTCTGATCTTCTCCCAGACGGGGCTCTCTCCCTCTTCCGCTCATCAGGATGCCCTGTTCTTCCTGATCGACAGAAGCAGAGCATGTGGCAGGGGCTTTACAATAGCCCGCTTTGACTCAGTTGTCCCAGGGAGCAAGTAGGGACTTCTCCAGTTGGTAGAAGACTGGATTAGATGATCGCCAAGGTCCCTGCCAATCTTGCAGAGATGTGCAGTACTTGGAGCCAGTAGGCATAGGTGCTTGGGATCTGGCACAGGCCTCCTCAATGCATCTATTGGCTGCTTCGGAAAGGAGCTGGGAAAATGCCTGCTTGAGTTACACTGGTCTTAAGAAGATGTGTGATCGCAGCCTGTATCTCTGAGATGTCTCCTGAATTTAAACAGCCATTCTGCTGAGTTGCGTGGCTATCATGCATGCCTAGGAAAATGCCCGGCTCCTCTAAGGAGCTGCCAATGGATACGGGAAGGATGCCTGGGCCAAACCCAAAACTTTTTTGTTGCTCTAGATCTGATTAGCGTCCACCTTGGAAGCATCTAGCCAAGTTCTTGGCCAGAGCAGCAGTCCTCTCCTTCCTTCTGACACCCAAATCAAGCAGACTATTTCTTTATTTAGAACATATTTATTTATTTAGTTCAATTTATATGCCGCCTTTCTCCGAAGACTCAGGGCGGCTTACAATGCATTTAAAAAACCATTATAAAAACATTTAAAAATTAAAACATTAAAATCCATTCACACCATTCATGGCCGCATCTCACAAGATCGCAACAGTGAGATCAACGGCCCCAGGCCTGCCGGAAGAGCCAAGTCTTCACCGCTTTTCAGAAGGCCGATAGGGTGGGGATGGTCCGGACCTCAGGAGGTAACTGGTTCCAGAGAGCTGGGGCCGCCACAGAGAAGGCCCTCCCCCATGGGCCCACCAGCCGACATTGTTTAGCTGACGGGACCCGGAGGAGACCGACTCTATGGGATCTTACTGGTCGCTGGGAGCTATGCGGTAGAAGGCGGTCTCGAAGATAGCCTGGCCCTGAGCCATGTAGGGCTTTAAAGGTAATAACCAACACCTTGAATTGTGACCGGAGACCAATAGGGAGCCAGTGCAGCTCGCGGAGAATTGGTGTAATGTGGGTATATCTAGGTGCACCCACTATAACTCGTGCGGCTGCGTTCTGGACCAACTGTAGTCTCTGAACACTTTTCAAGGGTAGCCCCATGTAGAGCGTGTTGCAATAATCCAACCGTGAGGTGACAAGGGCATGAGTGACTGTGAGGAGAGCCTCCTGATCCAAGTAGGGTCGCAATTGGTGCACCAGACGAACCTGTGCAAAGGTCCCCCTAGCCACAGCTGTCAGATGTTGCTCTAATCTTAGCTGTGAGTCTAGGAGGACACCCAAATTGCGAGCCCATTCTGAGGGGGGCACTTTCTCTCCCCCCCCCCCCGAACCAAGGATGGACAATCAGCATGGTCTTTAGGAGGCAATACCCACAGCCACTCGGTCCTGTCTGGGTTAAGTCTGAGCCTGTTGACTCCCATCCAGACCCTCACGGCCTCCAGGCACCGGCCCATCACATCCACCGCATCACTGAATTGACGTGGGGTAGAGATATACTTAGAACAATAGGTTTGGAAGGGACCTTGGAGGTCTTTTAGTCCAATCCGGTGTCCAAGGCAGAAGTCTTATACCATCCCAGAGAAGTGGCTCTTCTTAAAAACCTCCAGTGATGGAGCATCCACAACTTCTGGAGGGAAGCCATTCCATTGATTAATTGTTTTCACTACTGGGAAGGCCTGCAGAGCAAATTTTGAGATTAGGGAAGAAATGAGCCAGATGTTGAGGGGGCTACTAGCAGAAAAGATTCCAAAGGAGAGATTCAACCTGGAAATAAGGAGAAATTTTCTGACAGTGAGAACAATCGACCAATAGAAGTTGCCTTCGGAAGTTGTGGGAACTTCATCACTGGAGGCTTTCAAGAAGAGACTGGACAAGTAACCTGTCTGAAATGGTGTAGGGTCTGCTTGGGCAGGGGCTTAGACTAGATGACTAGATGACCTACAAGGCCCCTTCCAACTCTGTTAATCTGTTAAATCCTGAGATCAGAAGCATCTCTGATGCTTTCCAAAGAGGAAAACATCAGAGATGAGCTCAAAAACCCCACCTTGATTTCGTTCAACATAAGTTGGAATAAAGGGAAACTAGGAGGGGCTTTTACAGTTCTTTTTTTTGTGTGTGTGTGTGTGTGTAACTTACAAAAAAGCCCATAATGTCTGCTTCTTCCCCTGCCCAGCCTCAACAGGGAGAGATTAATCTGCTTCTGCTGATCAGGAGGAAGAGAGGGGATTCTGGGTTTCGGTTTTGGTTCTCTGCTCTCCTCCATGTTGTCATGGAGATACAATGGTCCTCTCTGTGTTTCTGTTCCAGGCGGCAGACAGTCACAAGCACTCCCTGCTGGATCGAGCTCCACCTGAACGGCCCCTTGCAGTGGCTGGACAAGGTCTTGACGCAGATGGGCTCCCCGAGCATCCGCTGCTCCAGCGTGTCTTAAAGGATGAGGAAGGTGGAACCAGGTCAAATCTTGAGCAGAGACAAAACAGCTCAGCCTCTTCCTTGGTAATGTACAAAAAAACAGAACGGAAACGAGCATTTAGGGTAGCGGCTGTGCCCTTCCTTCTGTTCAGCGAAAGATTTTGTTCAATATCCTGGATGGGAGCAAAGACTTCCTCATAATGTTCATGTGTTCAGAAGATCCACCCAAAGCTTTGAGATGCCCAGGTGGGTCCTTCCGTGGACCACTGGAGGAGAGCCTCGGCTACATAGGCAGCTTGAATTTCTAATTTAGGACAGGCAGGCTGTGGCTGATGGGCTTTGCAAGACCGGGTGGCACTTGATAACAATTCTTGGGAGGCTAGAGAGCAAGGAAATGGTTCTGCCTCCTCCTTGCCCTTCCTTCTTCCTACCTCTTCGTGCGAGAATTTCCACTTTGTACCGGGCACATGGGGAGAAGAGCCAAGACATCTTCTAATATTTCTTTTTGAGCATCCACCTGGGCGACTGTGTGTTTTTCTCTGCCAACCGTTTGGAGGAGGGGATTTTCCTCATCTGCAGCCCCGACTGATAAGGTGCCATTAATTGAAGATGAAGAGGACTCGTGCCCCAAGGAAGGAGCTGCCTCCTCTCGGACATGGAAACGGATGCTTGAACTGACGCTGGGATGATCTCGGACCTAAGACCTCCTGCGTTAAAGGCAAGTGTCCCCAGCTCATCCCTCATCCATCAGTCCATATTTTAAGGTTGCTTCTCCTTTGGACTTGCTTGGAACTGGCCGCTTCTTCCGTGCTGACCTGCTGGGCTCACGATCCCATCTTCTGAAGAACCTCTGAAAGACTCTGAACATCCAGAAGGAGAAACTTTTGGAAAAGCACGCTTGCCTGTCCTGCTTCCAAAACTGCCTCTAGAAGCATTAGCTGGAAAGGAAGAAGACAGCCAGCCAGAAGTGTTCTGGAGCAAAATCGGCCAGGAGAAACTTACGCGCCTTCCTTCCTCATCAATAGGATTTCCTTGGCCATTTGACTCATCTGCCAAAACGGATCTTTTCCACCCATCAAATCGGAACAGCCTGACCACAGCACGGCTCCCAGATGATTTAATTGACAGTTATTACTGTTTTGATTCTTGTAACTAAGCAAACATCTGTAAACAGATTTGGAGCCATGCTTACTGTTCTTCAAAGCAGTTGTGTATGTGGGTGTGGGTGTATTTGTGCAAGAGTTCTACAGTGGCCAGTAATTCTGGTTAGTACGCTTCGTGATTGTGAGGGCGAAATCCGTGTGCGGTGTCTTTGTGATCAGAAGTAAGTGTTATTCATGCCAGTCAACCCATCTGGAGTTGTTCAGTAATTTGGACTTGTTTCTAGATTCTCAAGACTTAAAAAAACCAAACTTGGTAACCAGTCCCCAGAAGCTGAGAATCCATTATTTTTCCTCAGAATTGAGCGGATTAATTAAAACCTAAGAAGCTCAAATAATATAGAAGAACACAATTTGAGATACCTTGTGGTAAAGTAACTGAAAGCATTTAACTGTATTGAATAGGTTGTATGTCTGTTCAGCGTGGCGCGACCGGCAAATATTTGGGAATGCAGATAAGAAATACCATTTCAATTTCAGATTAATGTCTTGACAGATGATTTAAAGTTCAGTATTAATCTGGTCGGCCTTCAGAAACAGAAATGGCTGCCTCATTGCATAAAATGTGTGGAGCTTCCTTGGAAAAAGAGATGGCTTGTTCTCAGTCTGAGTAATCTCTGAGCAGCGTCTGAAATCCCACTGGGTTTTTCGTAGGGTTAAATTCACCTTTCAATATCAGAGCAATGCCGGAGTCGTCTTAAAAATGGCATTTATAGAATCTTACTCTATAAAGATTCAGTGTAACCTTAACCCTAACCATACGGCAATATGCCGTATGGAATATTTGAGTTTCAGAAATGCTTTTAAATAATTCAAGGAGAGAAAACTTGCAGAATGTATGTGGTGTGCATGCTTTTTGTAAAAAAATGAAAAAAAGTTATAGCAATTGTGGCTGGTAGGAACAATCAATCCAAAGACATTTTTGAAGGCTTTTTTAAAAATGTGATCCGTGTAGATTTTTTTAGGCACCCAGGATGAAATATGTTTGCTCCAGGTTCTGTACAGCTTTAATCAAGTAGCCATCGGTGTGTTCTGGTTCACTGGGAAAACTGTTGCCGTTTTCGCTGACCTGATTTCTTCCAGATATGCTGGGTGTGTTGCTTGTATTGTCTCTGGGAGTTCTGAGCATCCTAGCCTGTTGGGTAATTTTAAGGTAGCTAGGTCCTTTAGGGTGAAAAGTTAATTTCTGGGCGCAGGGAATTCACTTTCTTTCAGGTTCTCTCCTTGAAACACTACATTTCTACTAGTTTGAGTGGGCCTTCCTACGTTGAAGGATCTGGTCACCCAAACCCGATTGTAATTGGATGGCGTGGCTCTCCCAGACCAATCACACAGACCTATTGTGCTTTTGATGACTTATTCACTGCTGGAAGGACAGATTACGGAGAGCCCCCGTGAGTCTGCCAATGAACAGTGAAGAAAGTTTGAAGATAGTTTTAAATACATAGATATATATTTTCTTACTCAGCATATTAGCCACTTTGCACAAGTCCAGATTTTAGTTCTTGAGACTTCCTTTTTGTATTCAGTTCTTGTGATAAGTCTACTGGGTAAATCATTTCCCTGCCCATTAAATCTTTCTATTGTTGGCAAAACTGAGGTATGATCAGCATTTTCAGAGTTTCACAAACAGGAGAGGTTTCTTCAGAAAATGTCTCTCGGTTTCTACTTTGAGTGAAGAGGGAAGACGTTTCTCCATAGATTGCAAACCTTGCTTCGTACAGCCTGGGACACCAAACCACCAAAATGTCCATGAAATATAGTTCAGCAAAATTCTCAGCAGCAGTTTAAATAAACTTTTTAAAGTTTCAGCTGAACTCTGCTCTACAGATAAAAGTGGGAATGCTTGTAAGAGGATCCTATGTGAACCAGATAATCTTGTGAAATTAAAAATCCCACCCTAAGCTTGTGTTTGTTGATTATGATGAATCATAGTGTACATTATTTGGTTGTTGCTAGGATAGCGCTTCCCAAAATTGGGTAAATTATCCAAAATTGGGTAAAAGCGGTTTTTTTTGGCTAACAACACACGAACCTAACAGGGACATTTAAATAAGGATTTTCTGATAAGACGTTTTGGGTAATGAAGATAAAAGTTTGGGAAATGCTAGTTTAGGAAATCCAAACCCACCCATTGTGGCTTATTCAACAAAACACAGTTTAGCTGTATATGTGAACTCACCCAGACTATTCAGGTATAAACAGAAAAAAAATCTTCTCAAATTGATGTTTGGTATTAAATTGATGTTTCAGATTAGATGTTGAAATGCCCAGGAACTGCCATAAAATAAAGTATACTTAAGTGCATTTAATTTTCCCCAGTCTGCATCCATAGTCCTGCTAAAAATGTTCCTTGTGCCTTGTTAAAATCTAGTAGAAATTTGGAAATGGTGCAGAAGGGCACCCAATTCTAGCTTCCTGGGCTCATTAGCTGGGGAAACAGGTGCCAGGTAAGCTATTGCTCAGGTGTTGGTCTGACCCTTTCAGGTCTTGAGTGAGACCTGTTAGTATCAGGCTGCATTCGTAACACCAAGCCATATCATGGTTTGCCTCAAGTTAAGTGGATGCATTCTGCAAACCTAGCCAATCATAGTTTAGTCAACAAAATGTGATTAAGCAAGGCATAGTACACAGGTAGCTGGACCCAATCTTGTTCTACAGATAAAAAGCCAGCTAAAAACTTTTGTCTGACCCGCTTCTTGCTACCTGAAATGGAAGTTTGCGAAACAAGCCATACAACATGAAACTCACACAAGTGCCAAAATCTTGAAAAGTCCTCATTGGGATTATCTGGAGCTGCACTTTAAAGAAAGACTTGGTGACTTCACAAATTTGGGTCCCGAGTGGTGCAGGCATAATTTTTAAAAGGAATCTGGAAGCATTACGTACTGGACAGAAACACTTCGGCTACTGACCGGATGTCCATGTGAAGAGCACAAGAAACGCCTCGGGCAATATTGTGCAAAGTATAGGATTGTTAACGTAACAACGTTAAGTTTCCCTGTCCCTTCCCCTTTCAAGATTACATTGATTGAAGCTCCACAAAGTTTTGGGGACCCTGGAGCCCATACATTGGTCCAGAGATGATGCTGTAAGCCTTTGTTGATGGTCGAAAGTAACTTCCTTTGACTTTGAAAAGCCCCTCTCAGTTGCTCTTCTCCTAAATGTGATTCTTTGCTGTTGTTCCTTGGAAGGGATCACCAATGCTTGGGCCTTGGTGTACATCCCAGGTGCTACATTGAAAGCATTGGATGACCACCACTCCAATTCCTCTTTGCAGCAGCTGAAATTCGCTCTCTTGGGATTCAGAGGCGCTGACCTTCTAGCAGTGCCTTTATGGCTCCCTGGCACGGATAACCTGTCTTGGGGCTGGGCCCCTGTTGAGGTCAAGGCTCTTCTGCCATGCTGTCAGGTGACGCAGTGAGCACATGCATCTGTGTGCCAAACCACGTGGCTTCTGAACTTTTCATTTGCGCAGGACTTTTAGATGCAGCATCGGCCCTATTGACTAGAATCATCTCCTGGCTGCGGCATCCTTCATCTCCCCTCAGTGGACTGTTCATGAGCTGACCTGGACTCTTTCGCCTTACGCAGCTGCTGGCCGGCATGTCCAGATGGCCAGGATGGACTTGGATTTTATTGACTTCGATAAAAACTTTTTTTTTCTTTTGTATGATAATGAGCCAAATCACATTGTGTGCATTGTTTTTATATTGCGCTTTCTACAGACCTTTGGGAGCAGCATCCTCACTTCACAAAAGGATTGAAAATGGGTGGTTTTAGGAGAAAAGAGGCTGCTGGAAGCTTTCCAGCAAAGGGGCACAAAGGGTAAAAATTCAAGGATGATCCTGCAGAGGTTGAAGGACTGTTGAAAGCTGCGTTGAGATCAACTCCTAGATGACCTCTCTTGCCAGGACTAGTTGGGACCAGACTGGACAGGAGGCTGGCTGTGTTCCGGATGGGCAGGGGGGACAAGGCTTCTAAAATTGAGCTCCATGCTTCTAAATCCTCAAGAGGCTGGCAGAACCAGAATTTAAATTGTTCTAGGATAGGGTAAGAAATGATTAGCCTCTCCAGTAGAAAGGTGTGGTTAAAATGTTTTAACATGGTTTTAGGTATATATTTATTTATGCAACTAATGTAGTAGCCAGATTCACTCAAGATTATTTCTCAACTTCAAGAGAGTTGGGGGAAGATTTGACAGAGGTATATCGTCCGATGGAGATTCAGACAGTAAAACAAGAGACGGAGGTCGGTCCATCCATTTTTCTCAGTAGCAAAGCACTTAATTTCTATTGGATTGGGCTTGGCCCCATTCACCTGCTCCACTGTTGCCTTGGATGACTGACACTCTTGAGCAGAGGTCTTCAAACTTGGCAGCTTTAAGACTTGTGGACTTCAACTCCCAGAATTCTCCAGTCAGCTCAGTCAGCAGAGCTGGCTGGAAAATTCTGGGAGTTGAAGTCCACAAGTCTTAAAAGATGTCAAGTTTGAACACCTCTGCTCGAGGCACACGTCTTCCACGTGTGGGACCCTCTTTCCAAGCTGAGTGGACAATGCAGGTGGGAGGTCTCAAAGGTGCTTTTTAAAAAGGCAACTGGACTTGTGTGGTGCCAGCCTCATAAAGATGACCATGGCAGCTGTAGGACCAGCTTTCCTTTCCAAAGTCCTCCCCTCACCCCACCCCCATGAGACTGGGGCCAGGATTCTTGATTAACTGGGTTGAGGCTGTGGGCCACGGAGGCCGGGCCGTGGGAGATGGCAATTCCCTAGCACAGGAGAGCAGTCAAGGAAAGCTGTTCTACACATCTGCCTACTTTTCTAGCATTGGCATGCAAGAATCCTTGTGCCTCAAACAGGTTGGGGACGGACTTCTAGCAATGGAACCGATACTAAGCAAGTGGTCCTTCCTCTTTCTGTTCTCCAGCCCTTCCATTGGTAGCCCTTGATACAAGGAGGCGCTTGGCATCAGCAAAGGCACCCAGAGGTCTCCTTCCCACCTTCGATGGAAGTAGAGTTCAGCTCTTGGTTTCTTGAGAAATAGTGGGCTTCTCGCTAGCTCTTATGAAATGTTCTTCACCCAATGTTTTGTACTTTTGGCTGTATATTGCTTGTTGTCCTTTGGCCCTTAGCTTATCTCTATTAAAAGCTTTGTAACATCCATGTCCTGTTATTTCTAAAAGTGAAATTTCAAGTTCTCTGATATTTTTAATAAACTTTTTAAGACTCCTCCTCCCCCGTTTTATAAGTCAGATGAATCCAGCTCGAGAATGGCAGCAGCTTCAACCAGGACAAGCCATGCTGGTCCCTGTGGGAACCACAAGCTTCCTCTTCCCCAAACATTCCTTTGTAGACAGGGTGGCCGGGCCAGAGGGGGATTCCCCAGCCGGTGGGGTGGGAAATGGGAAGGTAGACAGGTTGGGAAAGAGGCAACCTTTAGTAAGCAGCTGCTTTCCTTTTTTTCCTACCTTATTTATTATTTATTTATTAATTTAATTTGTATACCACCCTTCTCCCAGAAGGGACTCAGGGCGGTGAACAGCCAAAATTAAAAATACATACAATACAAAAATTAAGATAATTAAAAAGAATTAAATCATTGGCTTCCCAATTTAAAACCCCCAAGTCTATAAAATTTAAAATCCCAATTAAGAACTATTTAGGCTAGGCCGGCTTGGTGGAATAAGTCTTCAGGGCCTTACCTTGATCCCATGGCTGTTAAGTGGGCTGGTATCCACCTTTCACGGCCAGTCCCTTCCCCTCAAAAGCCTCCCGTCCCAAACTCTGCAGCCCCTCCAAGTTCTAGTTCCGAAGGGCCACCCCCAGCCCTTCTTGCACCCCCAGCCCTTCCTGGATGGGCAGAATGCAAACTGACCAGCCATCAGCCTGTGTTTTGAGCAGACTTTATTCATTCTAACACAACACCAAAGAAACAGAAGGTCGTCGCCCCCCCCCCCCCGCCACCCCCACCCCCGTGGCTGGACCACCACACAGCCGCCTTTCCCAACAGGGCCATCTCCAGGTCTTGACAGCAGCAGCAGCAGCAGCAGCAGCAGCAGCTTACATCTGACCCAACCGGGGATCAATGGCTGCGGATGATGGGAGCTGCAGCCCAAAATGGCTCAGGAGCAGCTGGGCGGCCACGTCTCCCAGTAGAAAGGTGAAGAACTGCACAGAACGATGGGATCCCGACAGGCTGCAGTGGTGAAGTTTCCAGCAGCAGCAACTAGACTCTAAAGTGCTTTATTTGCCTGAGGGGTGGGGGGGGGCTGCTTCAGGCCTGGGAGCGGCAGGAGATGGCTCGGTTCTGCTGAAACCAAACACGTTCTGACACTAAGAGGGAGCCCCTAGATTTACACGCCTTTTGCAGGAAACGGCACGCAGGGCCTGTCGGTCCAGACTTGCTGCTTCTGCGTAAGGTAGCAGTCCCCAACCTTTCCCATTTGGTGGCCCGGGGGTGTGGTGGGGAAGGGATGGTTCCCCGCAAGTGGCAGGCGTGCGCATGAGCACATGCAGCTCTATTTGTGCCAGCGGCGTGTGCCCCTGGTACTCCCACAAATGGAACTTCATGTGTGCGTGTGAGCACCCGCCACTCACAAGTGGAGCTGTGCATGCGCGCTCGCCTGCTGCTTGCCCGGCCCAGGGGGGTCGGGGACCCCTCCTGGCATAAGGACTCTAGTAGAATCCTAATCTTCCTGGCTGCAGGTATGGGCAGAGAGAGAATTGTGCTCCCCTTCCCTTTGTTGTTTCCAAAGGCTGTGAAGCAACAGGCTCCTCCAAGCAAGGCGGGAGTTGCACACAGCCGCTCTCAGCTGCCACTGACGGGACACCTGGGGGAAATGGGAACGTGCTCAGATGTTTCTCCTTGTGCTGGTTCACCCTCCGCTTCCAGGCTGGGGAGACGGCACACAAGCTCTGTCTCCTCTTGGCCGGCCAGCGTTGGATAAACACTCGGGATCCGATTCCAAGTGAAGTTCGGCCAAGAGGAGCTGCCTCTCGCAGCCTTTCTCCCCTTTTAAGGGTCTAAGGGACATCAGGACTCCTAAACTAACAGATAACTTGCGACGAACATTCCCCTCCAGATTCCAGTCGGTATTTTGATATGAAGACAAGTTAGAAGGCAAATGGAACCGTCCAGACACTGTGCAGCTTCTCCTTTAGTTGGGAGCAGGTTCTGTTCACTTGGAGGTCCACATTCCCCTTGGTAAATCCAGGCAGGGAGATTGCGGAGGCAGCTACTTTCCAGTGCTGAAGAACAAGAATGAACTAAGTCTCAAGGGATACCCCTTCACCCCCACCCCCCAAGTCTCTGCCAGGGCTGCAGAGGAAACGAGGCCTCGTCAAAATCTGGGTGGTAGTCAACCCCCGTCGCACGTCCAGAACCAAAGTCCCGTTCCAGTCTGCAATCCCGCCCATCCTTAGTTGTCCTCGTCGGAAGACAAGCCTTCAATCTCATCCTGGTCTCCTCTGATGGCCATCCAGAAGGCTTTGGCAACCTAGGAATCAAGCAAACAGGCTGAAGCTCCGGAAGCTCAGCCCCACACCTATGGGAGACCAAACATCCTACAACAGGGGTCCCCAAACTTGGCAGTTTTTAAGACTTATGGACTTCAACTCCCAGAATTCTCTAGCCAACTATGCTGGCTGGAGAATTCTGGGAGCTGAAGTCCACAAGTCTTAAAACTGCCAAGTTTGAAGACTTCTGCCCTACAAACTCCCTCCAGGTAGATCTGTCAATTTAAGCCATGAGGGCATCAGTGTACACACTTCGCTTCTATCCTGGGCTTTGCAACTTGGGGAAACAAACTAAAATCTGAGCGTGAATAATTCTGATTTTGGTTGGGGAGAGAAGCTGGCAAGAGAAGAGACAAGGGTTAGAAATCTCTCAGTGAAATGCTAGGGGTACTTAGCAAGCAGCATCTGGCTGGGTTTGGGCTCAGAAAACAAGTATTTCCAATCCCAAATCTTACCTTTTCGGCATGCAGTTTTCTTTGTTCGTGAGGCAGGGTGGCAGCCTTTTCTGGAAAACGAAAGGGGAAGAAAAATCACCTTTGGCTAGAGAGCAAAGAAAGATGTCGGTGGGGATGAAATAGAAAAGGCTGTATGTAAAGGTACAAAAAGGACAGACGGATCGTGGCCATCTGTTAACGCAGAAACTGCCTGCCCTAAAAGAAGCCAGAAGCAGCCGGTAGGCCCGCAGGAACTGATGGGTGCAACTTCAGCTACTCCTTTTTTTTAATTATAAAAGTTTTTTTTAAAACAAACAAACAGACAGACAAACAAACAATACATCCTCAATCATTCAGTGTTTCATCTGAGTGCATATTTTGTGTCTTCTACTCCCTCCATCATTTTCATATATTTCTATCATACCTTTATATTTTCATTTACATTGTTACATCATTCTTCCCAAATTTCTTATATTTATATTAATTCATCAATTATCTAAATTTTTATATATATCTCTTCTCTAACCATTGATATAATTGCCCCCATACTTTAAAATCTCCTATTCTTCCTTTTCTTTAATTACCAATGTTAATCTATTCATTTCTGCACATTCCGATATTTTCTTAATTACTTCACCCTCTAAAGGGATTTTCTCTGCTTTCCAATTTTGTGCAAATACAGTTCTCGCTGCAGTTACAATATGTATAATCAAATAAGTATTCTCTTTACTATATTTCTCTGGTAAGATGCCCAATAGGAACAGTTCAGGTTTTAAATCAATACGTTGTTTTATCATTTCCTCTAGCCATGTTCTAATTTTAATCCAGTAATTCCTCGCTTCTAGACATGTCCAAACTTCAGGTACTCCTGTCCCCACCTCTGATCACACGTTCCAGAACATCCCTCCTTGTTCCTTCCTTCTCTACGCAGTTTTCCCACCTGTGCAAGACCCCCAAGGCTGGAGGCAGGTAAACGCTAGTGAGGAAACCCAGCCAGGCTCTTTCTGACTCCAGCAGATAAATTGGGGAGGCAGAAAAAGGGCTGCGTTGCATGCCCTTATAACATCAGTTGCCAGAAGGTAAGGATGGATTCCTAATTTCCTGTTTTCCTTTCTTGCTCCCGTTATGGCAGAGGAAACCGGAGGCCAGACAGCAGGCCTCCAGAGCACCGGGCTGGGCTGCTGCTTTCCTCCTGCTTCCTAGATGCTACTGCTCGGAAACTGCATTTCCCAGCATTCTCCTTGCCCTCCCGCCCCAGCCCCTCCCTCCATTCCTTTGTGGGTGGGTCAGGCTGAGGAGAGCTACCTCCGAAAGCCAGCCTGGCAAATTTGCACGAAAACGGAGTTATTTTCCGAGTTTGGGGAAATGAGCTGAAGGCTACCTTTCATTTCCTTCAACTTGGAGAAGAGTCGCTCAAAGTTCTCGATGTCTCCTTCTCCTGCGGTGAGGCTAGCGAGCTCTTGAATGTCCGTGTCCAGCACTGGGTCTGAAAAGAAGCCCAAAAGAGAGGCAGCTCTCGCTGGGAATGGGAAACCTTGCCATGGCCAACTCATCACGGCCAACTCGCTGCAGGACAATTTAACGATTCTATGCAATTATTTAAAATAAATAAACATTATTTCAGTTTTTGCCATTCCCATTTCATTCTGTCCCTCCGTTTGCATTCTGTTCTTTAACGATTCTATTTCACCATCACTTTGATATTAGTGTCCCACAGGGAGAGGTCCAGGGGTGAAATCCAAATTTTTTTACTACCGGTTCTGTGGGTGTGGCTTGGTAGGTGTGGTGTGGCTTGGTGGGTGTGGCTTGATAGGCGTGGCAGGGGAAAGATACTGCAAAATCTCCATTCCCACCCCACTCCAGGGGAAGGATACTGCAAAATCCCCATTCCTGGGGGAAGGATATTGCAAAACCTCCATTCCCACCTCACTCTGGGGCCTGCCAGAGGTGGCATTTGCCAGTTCTACGAACTGCTCAAAATTTTTGCTACCGGTTCTCCAGAACCTGTCAGAACCTGCTGGATTTCACCCCTGGAGTGGTCCTGCGGTGAGTTGGCCGTGGCGAATTGTCCTAGACCCGCTCTGACTGACTGGATTGACTGATTGAGCGGGAGGTGGATTGGGACAGGAAGAGAGCCCCTCCTACAACCCCCGAGAGTCCTCCTGAGTGGGGAGACTGGCGGGGCTGAAAGAACTTCTTGCAAAACAACCGATGGAGGGAACAGACCTGTTTTCTCCACTTCACCCTACTTAGCAGAGAGGCTCTTACCAGCCACGGGGTCCCCCTGGGTTCCCTCCGCCGGGGCCAGGGCTGCTCCTGAATCCAACACAGATTGGGCCCGCTCTGCCGGCAAAGAGTTGGCCTGGCGGGGAGGGAAAGAAGTCGAATCAGACTCAACCCCCTTCAGTGGAAATTGGCCCAAAGTACGGGTTGACCTGAGCCAGCCTCAAGGATGCAAATTCCATGAAGCCGGCGAGAGCCAAACCAGTTCAGAAAGGACACCTGTGTCCAAATCTAGGTAAATTCCAATTGCAATACCAAACACATAATCTGGTGATCCCTGGGACTTAATGTTTTAATTGTAAAGAACATCATTAAATTTCCAGGCCTTCTTTTACAAAAAATGTTGGAAGATGAAGGGCCCTGCCCAGTAAATTAAACCTGAGTACCCCAGGGTTAAATCAGGGGCATACCAAAGAAGAGGAAGAGGAAGAGGAAGAGGAAGAAGAGGAAGAAGAGGAAGAAGGAAGAAGAAGAGAAGAAGAAGAAGAAGAAAAAGAAGAAGAAGAAGAAGAAGAAGAAGAAGAAGAAGAAGAAGAAGAAGAAGAAGAAGAAGAAGAAGAAGAAGAAGAGACATTCCACCCAAGAAGTTTTAAAAATGGCTGTTTACTTCTGGAGCTTCATTCTTGTCTGACCCAATCCTGCGATCTGCCCCCACTAAGGCTGGGAAAAGGCCGAAGCTGTGACTCGCCTCTGAAAAGGAAGAAAGGATGGTCAGTTAGCAGAAGGCTTCGATGGCTGGCCAGGCATCTCCCAGCCCTGGCCTGGAGGAGATTCGGCTGTGGCTTCAGAAACTCCCAGCCAGAAGCCAAGCTACCTGGAGGCTGTGGCTCAGGGGCTTCCACACGGCCCCTGCCTGAGTGTGCCGGTCACTGAGGGCCTGTCACCATCCTGGAGTAGGCTAAAGCCAGAGGAAGGTGATCTAGCACAGAGGTTCCCAAACTTTCCAGCTTGGCAGACGGGCGGAAGGTTGGTTCGCAAACACCCACCACCCACGCAGATGGGGCTGCACTCATGGGCACCCTCGTTGGCCGCTTGCGTGGCCCAATTCCGAACAGGCTGTGGCCCGATAGTGGGCTGTGGCCTGGGGGTTGGGGACCCCTGGTCTAGCAGCAGTAGTTGCAAGGCTCCCTCAGGCTTCCCCTCCGGCCTTTCTGAGGAGAATCTGGGAACTGCCACTTTTCTTGGCTCCTTCCTGCCCCTGAAGGAGCACCAACCTCAGGGATCGTATTTCACAGAGAGACCCCTGGCACTCCATCACCGGGGGGGGGGGGGACGAGGGACGGGGCTGTTTCTGTCATCAGCGGTTGAAAGAGTTCTTCTCAAAACAAACGTGAATTTGACCCCAAACCCCAAAAGCAAGTCCACCCCAAAGTGTCTCCCCGCCCCAGATTGTGGCTTTTCAGCTTTTGCAGATGGGGAAACCACGACCGTTTCTAGCGGGAGAGCGGCCGCTTCCCCTCCCACCTGCAAAGAAAGCCGAGTCTGCCGGTGACTCAAACTGAGAGCACCAAGAATCAAAACCCGAAGCAGCAGGGAGCAAAATTCTTGGCGGTTAGTTACGTTTCTGCCCAACGGAAACCGCCTGAAAAGCCGGCTTGCCACGACTTTCCCTCGTGCGGAGGGCCCTTCCAAGCAGAAGATGCCGCAGCCGGACTGAAACTCCGGTTGCAGGAAAGAAGCTGTGGGGAGGGGGGGGGGCACCTGCACTATCTCCCACTGGCTTTGCTCAGGCCTAGGGAAACGGGCTCCCCCCCCCCCAGCATTAAACTTCAGTGCAGTACAGGTAGTTCGTTTAGTGTCCTCAGGTCATGCTCTTGCAACCTTCTGACAAACAAAGTCTAGATTCACATCACAGTCGGGTTACTAACTTATCAGCTGCAGTGATTCACTTAACATCACTTAACAGTGATTCACTTAACAACGGTGGCAAGAAAGGTCGTAAAAGGGGGCAAAGCTCACTTAGCAAATGTCTCGCTTAATAACAAAAATGTTGGGCTCCATTGTGGTTGAGGACTACTTAACGGGTGGGTTTCCCTTACCTTTGCTACCGGTTTGCTCGTGCACGCGTGCCGCTTCTGCACATGCGCAGAGCAAATTTGATGACATCTCGGTGGATGGGTGGAGCCTCCCGCTGCCGCTGCTACCGGTTTCCCCGAACCGGGGAGAACCAGTAGCAACTCACCACTGTACTGTAATCGTATCTCGCGCATGCAAATGGCCTAGTTAAGCCTAAAGCTGCCTTTCCTCTCCCTGGCAGGGGGTCTGCAAGCCCACTATTGCTCTCACTGGCCAAGGAAGGAGAAGGCCTCCTGCGTTTCGCCTGTCAAACCCAGGCAGAACCTTGGCGGCAACCATTGCGGGTGCCATCTTGACATTTTTGACTCCTGATTCCACACTCCTGTCCCATTGGGATGCCAGGCCCTGTAAAAGCAAGTGTGATCTCCAGCTCTGCAGAACTGGCTGGGGAATTCTGGGACTTGAAGTCCACACATCGTCCAGCGGCCAAGGTTGAGAAACACTGTCCTAAAAGTATCAAAATCAAAACCACATTCGAACACCAGTTTTTAAGGGGTGGAAACACAGGCAGTCCTCGACTTATAACCACAACTGAAGCCCAAAATTTCCACTGCTGCTAAGCAAGGCCTCGTTTTACAACCTTTTTGGCCATGGTTGTTAAATGAACCACTGAAGCTCTGAAGTGAATCATGCAGTTGTTAAGTGAATTGGGCTGCCTCCGTTGACTGGCTAAGCACCGGAAATTTGATCACATGATTGTGGGGATGCTGAAACGGTCGTTAAGTGTGAAATCTGATCATAAGTCACTTTTTTCAGTGTCATTGTAATTTCAAATGGTCATTAAACAAATAGTTGTAAGTCAAGGACCACCTGTACTGTGAAAAACTAGAAGGACTGGAGAAATAAAGGGGATCTCTGGCAATAAAGGGGGATCTCACGAGCCCCACATCACCCTCAGCATCTACCTCTACGGCAGTCTTTTTTGGTCTCAGCAATTTGGAGATATGTGGACTTCAACTCCCAGAATTCCCCAAGCCTGCTGGAAAATGTGCTGGCTGGGAAATTCTGGGAGCTGAAGTCCCCACATCTTCAAGTTGTTAAGATTGAGAAATGACGTTGTATAGTGTGGAATCTAATGTTTTATGATGAATGTTATTTTTACAATGACTATAATAATGATCTATCACTGTTGTTGTATGTACACTGAGAGCTTATGGACCGGAGAGAAATTCCTTGGGTATCTATTCACACTTGACCAATAAAGAATTCTAATTCTAATGCTCTAAGGCAGGGATGGCGAACCTTTTCGGCAACAAGTGCCCAAACCGGAACGCGCATGCATGAGTGTGCATGTGCGCGCACTGGAGTGCCGGAGACCAGCTGGTCGGCAACCTCATGCCTGTTTTGGGGGCCGTTTTCAGGCATTTTTGGGGGCCATTTTTTGGGCCATTTTCAGGCCGTTTTTCAGGCATTTTTTGGCCTGAAAAACGGCCCAAAAAACAGTCTGTTTTTTGGCCATTTTTCGGGCCGTTTTCCGGTGCTCCGATGCCCACGAAGACCAGCTGGCCGGCGCACCAGAAACCCAAAGACCAGCTTACCGGCAACTGCAGGCCTGTTTTTGGGCCGTTTTCAGGCATTTTGGGGGGGGCGTTTTGGGGGCCATTTTCAGGCCGTTTTTCAGGCATTTTTTGGCCTGAAAAGGGCCCCAAAACGGCCTGTTTTTTGGACATTTTTCGGGCCGTTTTCCGGCGCTCCAGTGCCCATGAAGACCAGCTGGCCGGCGCACCAGAAGCCCAAAGAACAGCTGGCCGGTGACTGCATGCCTGTTTTTTGGGCCGTTTTCAGGCATTTTTGGGGGGCCATTTTTGGGACTGTTTTTCAGGCATTTTTTGGCCTGAAAAAGGGCCCAAAAAACGGCCTGTTTCTTGACCATTTTTCGGGCCGTTTTCCGGCGCTCCAGCGCCCGTGAAGACCAGCTGGCCAGCGCACTGGAAACCAGAAGAGCAGCTGGCGATGGTGCACATGCCCACAGAGAGGGCTCTGTGTGCCACCTCTGGGACACGTGCCATAGGTTCGCCCCCATCGCGGCTCTAAGGTGACCAAGCTGATCCTCTGTCCTGACCCATCGAGACATGCCTTGGATGCAGTCCACAAGTGGGATCTCCGGCAACTCAAGGCATTCTGAGCCCAGGTTGCCACCCAGGGGACCCCAGCAGTTTCTCTACAAGGAGACTGAGATTGAGAGAGAGACTTCCTTTCTCATTCTAGAGCCAGAAGTGGCTTAAGGCTGAACCTCCAATCAACTTTTGCTTCTCCTAAGTGCCAGTCGCTGGTTCTGTCACAGGTAGGCACAAGAAGCAGCCGACAATGCCTTAAAAAGATCCCTTTCTGGGGGATGCCATTGATAGCCAGTTGAGTCTGGTGACTTTCGGCAGACAGCTGAACGTGGCAAACTAGAGCAGGGTCTCCAACCTTGGCCACTTTAAGCCTGGCGGACTTCAACTCCCAGAATTCTCCAGCCAGGGGAATTTGCCAAGGTTGGAGACCCGTGAACTAGAGCTTCGTAGAACTGGAAGGTTCATTTAGGGTCAACCATCACTGGAGGTTACAAAGAGCCTTGGTGGCGCAGCAGACTAAAGCACTGTTAAGTAGCATCAGCTGCCTGCAATTACTGCGAGTTCAAATCTTACCAGACTCAAGGTTGACTCAGCCTTCCATCCTTTCGAGGTAGGTAAAATGAGGACCTGGATTGTGGGGGCAATAAGCTGACTTTGTATATAAAAGAACACTGCTTAGGGGGTAGCTGAAAGCCCTACTAAGCAGATATATACAAAAGTATGAAGGCTATTGCTTAACGCATTGTAAGCCGCCCTGAGTCTCTGGAAAAGGGCAGCATATATCAAATCAATCAATCAATCAATGATCGGACACCCATTTATCTGGGGTGGTGTCAAATCTTCTGCCTTTGGGCCTGAGGATGGACTAGGACAGTGGTCTCCAAAACCATTGTATCTTGGTAGGCCTGCGGAGGGGCATCGGGGGGGGGAGAGGAGATGGTTTTGTGCACCTACCACTTTCACACATGCTCGCCCACCACTCCCACGCCCCCAGTTCCAAACCCACTGCAGCCTGGCACTGCAGCCACAGACTGGGGGTTGGGAATTGACTAGAAGACGTCCAAGCTCCCTTCCAACTCTGTTATTCTACGATTCGAAGAGCCCAACCTGCTACCATAAATTAAGGCATCCACAATTGCTTATGCCATTTTTCCGGACAACTGATTCCATTGTTGGATTCTTCTTACTGGGAAGACGCAACTTCCAGCAAAATATGTTTCCTGTTGTTGTTCCATGAGGTGTGCCCTCCTGCCCCGCCCTCCTATGGACTGTCGAGAGCAAGTGGTAGCTGCCTCCCACAGAATTGCCTCCCAGTGTGCCAGACGTCTGGGAGAAATTGCTCTACACCCATGCCAGAGAATTATTGTCATTGATTTTTAAAAGCTGACCTTAAGAAACCCCCTACCGTTTTTTATCACGATGTTTGACCAGACGTTGGCATTCAAGGCTTGGATGATTCGCTTCACTCCTGTAGATTCTGGGAAATCGTCTAAAGGGGGGATGAGGAGAGGAGAGTTGGAATACGACTTATTACAAAGGCTCCGTCAGAAACAGAATCATCATCATCCCCATAATCCCTTGCATGGTGGAGTCTGGGTAACTGAATGGAGCTAGCAGAGTGTTTACTGGCCGGATGCCCTTCCTGTTGCCAATGCGGAGTTTTGTTCGGCAGTGTTCTGCCCCAGCTACGGACCCCAAAGAACACACAAAGTCCGTTCAAACCTTAGTTTACTGAATAAACCAGTCTTTTACAACAACGGCTGTTAATTAATTGCATTAACAGCCGCCAAGAATTCAAAGAATAATAACTGAAAGCTTACTATGGTTGGCAGAATGCCCAGAAGCAATTTGCAGGAAGCTGATAAGATAAGCAAGACAAGACACGAAGGTATGTGAACAAAGTTGTTCCCTGCAAATTGCTTCAGTCAGCGTTCCTCCTTAAATAGGCTAAGGGAGTGGCCAATTAGCCCCAAGCCTTACTCTCGAGGAGATCTCCTCCTGAGGAGCCACTCCTGCCTTTTGGCCACTCTGTGCAGCTGTGCATTGAGAAGAGGCTCCTTCTCTTCTTCCTCTTCACTTAAGGGAGCTTCTAGAGGTTCTGAAGGCCTTGGCTGAATCCCTACCTCTGGCACCACATCTTCTCCAGCCTCCTCACTGTCCGACTCGAGTGCCAGCTGCACAGACTGCTGGTACAGCATCACACCAGCCTCCTCGCTGTTGGAATCAGCTACTAGCTGCACAAGCTGCGTACAGGCCACAACAGGCAGATCTATTCTCATTGCGCCCAGAGAGAGAAATATCTGCCTCTACCTAGGATCGAACTCACAGCCTCCTGATTGGGAGGCGAGATCACCACCTCTAGGCCACCACACCACTCTCTTTGTCAGAAACAGAACAAGGATTCAGAAACTGAGAAGGATAAATAAGGCCTGGAAACTGTTCTCTTAACAAGGTCATTCTCAGTTCTCGATCTGAATTTACCACCACCAGGGAGGGAGGCCTCACAAAATGCTGGCAGAAGCATTGCAGGTAGTCCTCGAATTACAACCCCAGCCACATTTCTGTTGCTGAGCAGAACAGACAGTTCTTCAGTGAGCTTTGCCACATTTTACGACCTTTCTTGTCACCGTTGTTAAGTGAATCACTGCAGTTGTCGAGTTAGTAGCACCGTTGTTAAATGAATCTGGCTTCCCCATTGACTTTGCTTGTCAGAAGGGCGCAAGACGGGATCACGTGATCCTGGGGCACTGCAACGGTCACAAATATGAGCCAGTTGCCAAGTGTCTGAATTTTGATCATGGGGATGCTGCAACTGTCATAAGTGTGGTCATAAGTCACTTTTTTCAGTGCCGTTGTAAGTTTGAACAGTCACTAAATGAAAAGCTGTAAGTCAAGGACTGCCTGCATTATAAAGACCCTTTTAAGAGCTGTGGTGGCGCAGTGGTTAGAAGGCAGTACTGCAGGCTACTTCTGCTGATTGTCTGCTGTTAGCAGTTCGACAGTTTGATCCTGACCAGCTCCAGGCTGACTCAGCCTTCCAAGGTCGGTAAAAGAGGACCCAAATTGTTGGGAGCAAAAGGCTGATTCTGTAAACCACTCAAAGAGGACTATAAAGTACTGTGAAGCGGTATATAAGTCTAAGGACTATTGCATGTCACCCCTAGTCCTTTTCATTAGACTAGACCATTAGATGGCGAACCTATGGCAGACGTGCCAGAGGTGGCATGCAGCACCCTCTGTGCATGAGCATGTGCCTCCCGCCGACCAGCTGGTCTTCAGGTCTCTGCCACGCATGCGCGGGAGGGGCATGCGGGGGGCACATGCGCATGCATGGGGGTGGGACGTGTGCAAGGGGCTCACACCCTCGTCACCTCTCGCCTTGACTACTGCAACGCTCTCTACATGGGGCTCCCCTTGAAGGGCACCTGGAGGCTCCAGCTGGTCCAGAACGCAGCAGCGTGGGTAGTGACGGGAGCAGCGTGGCGCTCCCATGTAACACCGCTCCTGCGTGAACTGCACTGGCTCCCGGTGGTCTTCCAGGTGCGCTTCAAGGTGTTGGTTATCACCTTCAAAGCGCTCCATGGCATCGGGCCTAGCTATCTTCGAGACCGCCTGCTGCTACCGACGGCCTCCCTTCGACCCGTGCGCTCCCACAGAGAGGGCCTCCTCGGGGGGCCATCAGCCAAACAATGCAGGCTGGTGACCCCCAGGGGGAGGGCCTTCTCTGTGGGGGCTCCCACCCTCTGGAATCAGCTCCCCCCAGAGATAAGGAGAATCCAAGACTTCAGTGCCTTCCGCCGTGCCCTTAAAACCCATTTTTTCAAGCAAGCCGCGCTGGCTTAGGAAGAAATTTTTTAAATTTTTTAAATGTTTAATTGGTTTGTGGTTTTTTAAATTTTTGGGCCAAATTTATATAGATTTTAATTGTTCTTAATATTTGTATTTCATGTTCTTAATTCTGGCTGTGCACCGCCCTGAGTCCTTAGGGAGAAGGGCGGTATATAAATTGAAAAATAAATAAATAAATAAATAAATGTGCAGGGCGCAGGCGAGGGTTGGGCATGCATTGCATTTTGGGGGTTCGGCCGCGGTTTGGGCACTTGGTCCGGAAAAGGTTAGCCATCACTGGACTAGACATACCCAATTCCTGCAACCGTTCTTCATATCTTTTAACCTCCAAAACTGTCTCAGCGACCAAAACAGGACACAATGTTCTAAGTGTGGCCTTATCAGGCATGAGAAAGTGGGCCTTCCACTTTAGGTGGGTAAAATGAGGACCCAGATGGTTGGGGTCGCACGGCTCAGCTGGGATCATCAGAGGCTTTTAAAAGCATTTTTTTCTACAACCTCTTCGGCTGAAGAGGTTATAGAAAAAATGTTTTTAAAAGGAAAAAAAAGCTTCTGACGATCAGGCAAGTCAGCTGGGATCGTCAGAGGCTTTTAAAAGCATTTTTTTACAACCTCTTCAGCTGAAGAGGTTGTAGAAAAATGGTTTTAAAAGTTTTTTTTTTAAAAGTTGGCCACGCCCACTCAATCATATTACCCCCCCACCAAGCCACGCCCACAGAACCGGTAGTAACAAATTTTACATTTCACCACTGGTAGAGAGGGCTGTAAAGCCCTGTGAAGCGGTATAGAAGTCTTAAGTGCTTTTGCAGATTCTGGGGAAATCTTTCTGATAGTCCGCGAACCAAGGATGGAATTCCATACTTAGCAAAATAAATAAATAAAATAAAATAAAAGAGCCTTGGAAGTACAGTGGTTTAATGCACCCTGTTATTAACATCAGCTGCCTGCAATTACTGCAGGTTCGAATCTCGCCAAGGCTCAAGGTTGACGCAGCCTTCCATCCTTTCTAAGGTAGGTAAATTGAGGACCCAGTTTGTGGGGGCAATAAGCTGACTTTGTATAAATATATACAAAAGGATGAAGGCTATTGCTTAACGCCTTGTAAGCCGCCCTGAGTCTCTGGAGAAGGGCGGCATATAAATCAAATTTAAAAAAAAACAAAAACAAAAAACAAACCTTTGCAAGCTCCACTTATCTAAGGTTCAAACAGAACAAGGGGCCCCACGCTGACTATTTTGGGAAAGAGAAATTCCTCATGTAAAATGGCCTTAAGGAGGATTGCCAAATTCTTCACAGCTATCCCCACTCAACCATGAAATCAAGGTAGTTTTCGACTTACAACAGTTTACTTAGTGACCGTTCAAATTTATGACTTATGACCATTTTTCACACTTACGACCGTTGCAGCTTCCCCATGGTTATGTGATCAAAATTCGGATGCTTGGCAACTGACTCCTATTTATGACCGTTTCAGTGTCCTGGTGAGGCCGTGTGATCACTCTTTGCGACCTTCTGGAAGCCAGATTCACTGAACAACCGTGTTACTATCTTAACAGCTGATGTTGATTCACTTAACAACGGTGGCAAGACAGGTAGTAAAATGGGATAAAATTAGCTTAGCAACTGTCTCGCTTACCAACAGAAATTTTGGCCTCAATTGTGGTCTTAAGTTGAGGACTACATGTAGTTTAAAAAAAAAAACCCTCCAGCCTTTTCTGCAACTTTAGAAAGCTGTGATCTCCTCAGGCGGATGACTCAAACAAAACTATCAAAATGACGATCCAACCAAAAGAATAAAAACTGTTATATCACCTTGAAGGCCTGCCACACGATACAAGTTTCAAACGAAGCCTTGGCATATTTTAAAAGGGAAATTCTGATAAGAAATGACTAGGCAGGAACAGATTACTCTTTTTTTTTTTTGTTAGAATCCTAAAAATACCAACCAGCTTCGGGGGTGAAAGATGCAAAACTAAAATAAAATGACAGCCTCTTCTGAGCCTAAGGATGTATTTCTGGACTGGAACTGAGTTTGTGACAAGCCCTCTTATCTGTTTAAATCTGAGATGGAAGAAATAAGAGGTTGTTTATGCCACTAAGGGAGTCAGAGATTTCTTGCCTAATCTCTCAAATATCTATCACAGAGGTCTTCAAACTTGGCCGCTTTAAGACTTGTGGACTTCAACTCCCAGAATTCTCCAGCCAGTATAGGTATGCTATGCTATGCTATGCTATGCTATGCTATGCTGGCTGGAGAATTCTGGGAGTTGAAGTCCACAAGTCTTAAAGCGGCCAAGTTTGAAGACCTCTGATCTATCAGGAAATAGCTCAAGAAATACTACACTATTTCGCCACTACACCCATGTAATAAAGAAACAAAACCTCTCTTTACAGCTCTTGATGCAGCAGCCCAAACCCAGACTTCCCAGGGCACAGACAGCAACACTCCACATTTATATATTTATTTTTTATTTATTAAATGCATATACCGTCCATCTCACGATCAAGTGACTCTGGGCGGCATAATCATAAAAGCAAACATACAAAACATTCAAACATTAAATATGAAAATTTGGCCTTCAAGCATTTTTGAATTTTTTTTTGAAAAACTTTGAAAAGCTTTTTGAAAAAATTGAAAAGGCACCAATATAAATATTGTAAGCCACTCAGAGTTATCCTGGGTAGGGTGGGCAGCCAATAAATTGGATGGATGGATGGATGGATGGATGGATGGATGGATGGATAGTAGATTGGTAGGTGGGTGGGTGGGTGGGTGGATATGTAGGTAGGATAGATGATAGATAGATAGATAGATAGATAGATAGATAGATAGAGAGGATGGATGATAGATAGATAGATAGATAGATAGATAGATAGATAGATAGATAGGATGGATGGATGGATAGAGAGAGAGAGCCAGACAGACAGACACAGAGATAGGTAATGATAGACAGACAGGCAGATAGAGCAGGAGGAGAGAGACGTGTCTAAACAGAAATCCGGATTTGCAAGGCTGCCTATATGGATGAAGGTGGTAGGTTTGTAGCAATTGAACTGCATACTGTACATGGTCAAATTCTTGTGATTGGAATTTATGCTCCTAACCAACAACAGGATCACTTTTATAAAATTTTGCATACTAAAATATTGCAGTGGGATTATAGATCTATTTTGATCATGGGAGACTGGAATGGAATAATTGACTCTAAACTAGATAAAATAAGTCTGGCGAAGTCTAGGATTAGACTACCACAAACTTTTTTTGACATGAAAGAAGATCTGGAATTAAAAGATGTTTGGAGAATACACAATTCAAAAGACTTGGACTATACTTTTTTTTCTGATAGACACAGATCCTTTTCAAGGATTGATTTTATTTTATTATCAAATGATTTACTTGTTAAAACAAAAAGAACTAAAATCTTTCCAAGAACTTTATCTGACCACAGCTCAGTATGGATAGAAATTGAGATTGGGAAAATTGAGAGAAGATCATGGAGATTAAATGAAAATTTATTTAGATATGAAAAAAATATAATAGAACTTAAGAAGCAGATGAAAGAATTTTTTGAAATTAATATGAACAAGGGTACCCCTATTGAAATTGTCTGGGATGCAAGTAAAGCGTATATGAGAGGGGTACTCATTCATATGAATTCTAAACATAAACTGAATAGACAAAAGAAAAGATTAGAAATTGAAGCAGAGATAAAGAAAAAAGAACAGTTACTTATCAAAAATCCAGCAGATGAAAGAATACGTGGAGCTATAAAACTATTGAAAGATCAATTCCAAATGCTTATGGCGGATCAAGTTGCAACAAACTTACAATACGCAAAGCATAATACATTCTGTAATGCCAACAAGCCGGGCAGATGGCTGGCTTATACATTAAGGAAGAAACAGAGTATGCGGACTATTGACTGTATTGATACTGGAGGGAAAGAAATTCATCAACAAAAATTAATTAAAGAAGCTTTTGTAGATTATTATACTAAACTATATGCTAAAGATGATATACAGAATGGACTTATAGAAAAATATTTAGAAAACAAAAGAGTTACAAAAGTTACTAATCAACAAAAGGAAAGAATGAATCATCCTATAACAGTGGAGGAAATAATTGCAGCAATTAAACAACTGAAAACTGCCAAAGCTCCGGGAACAGATGGATTGACTGCAGTGTATTATAAAATTTTGCAAGCAGAAATGGTGGAACAACTTAGAGACTTATTTTGTAATATACAACAAGGGGGTAAAATACCCCCATCATGGAAAACAGCTTATATTTCTTTGATACCAAAAGAGCAAGCAGGTCCTAAAAAACCGGAGAATTATAGACCAATATCTCTTCTGAATAATGATTATAAAATTTATGCAAAAGTACTAGCCAACAGGTTGATGCCAGTAATTCAAAAGGTGATTCATGATGATCAAGCGGGATTTATAGAGGGTAGATATATGAAGGACAATGTAAGGCAAGTTATAGATTTATTGGAATATCTTGAGAAGAATAAACAGATCCATGCAGTGCTGGTTTTTTTGGATGCGGAGAAGGCCTTTGACAGAGTGGATTGGAATTTTCTATTAAAGACTTTGAAAAAGATGGACTTTGGGGATCAATTTATACAAGCGGTATCAGCAATCTACCAAGAGCAAAAGGCACAGATTATTATTAATGGAAATTTAACAACAGATTTTAATATTGAGAAAGGAACAAGACAAGGTTGTCCGTTATCCCCTTTGTTATTTATTTTAACACTAGAAGTCTTGTTGAATACAATACGGGACTCGAACAGCTTGAAAGGTATAGTGATAAGGCAAGAGGATTACAGACTAAGGGCATTTGCAGATGACCTGGTTGTTACCCTTTCACAGCCGATGGAATCAATAATCCAGATGAAAGACATTATAAAAGATTATGGTACAGTTTCAGGATTTAGACTGAATCCAAAAAAGACTAAAATGATAGCTAAAAACATGACACAAGATTGTAAACATGAGCTTGAAAGGAGGGCAGGTTTTGAGACTGTACCTAAGGTAAAATATCTAGGAGTTCAGGTTGCAGAATCAAACATGAAATTATTTCAAAACAATTATGAGGTGTTATGGCGAGATGTACGAAAAGACATGGAGACTTGGAAAAAGCTGCAGCTCTCGTTACTTGGAAGAATAGCAGCAGTTAAGATGAACATTTTGCCAAGATTTCTTTTTTTGTTTCAAATGATTCCGGTGCTTAAAAGTGATAAACAACTGAAAGAATGGCAAAGTGGAGTGAATAAGTTTGTTTGGAATGAGAAAAAACCGAGAGTGAAACTAAAAATTATGCAAGATGCTCCAGAGAGGGGAGGCCTTAAACTTCCAAACCTACAGATATATTATGAAGCAGCAGCTTTGACTCAAGCAAGCGATTGGTTTGGAAGGAAAAAGACTGGAATATTGAACATAGAAAGCTTTGACCTGGATTTTGGTTGGCACGCTTACTTATTTTATGAAAATAAAGTGGATAAAGTGTTCAAAAGTCATATACTTAGAGATTCGTTGAGAGTTTGGAAGAAGCACCGATTTAAATGGGATTACAAAATACCGTTATGGTTGGATCTTGGTCATATTATGTGGAATACAAATATAATGTCACTCGGGGGGTTTTTATATAAAGAAGTTCTTTTTACAGATGCGGGCAGATGGCAACTAAAGACATTAGAGACACTGTTGGATGAAGGGATTAACTTAACCTGGTTACAATATAATCAACTTCAACAGAGATGGAAAGAGGACCAAAAAACTGGTATTATGTTGCATGAGGAAGAATTGGTTAGACATATAAAAGAGAAAGGTCCAATGCATATTAAAAGGCTATACAATGTTTTATTAGAAAGGGACTCAGAAACTGAATTGGTTAAAGATTGTATGATTAAATGGGCACAGAATTTTGCAGAACCAGTAATGTTGGAAACATGGGAGAAAATATGGGTTCAGAATGTTAAATTTACACAGTCGCAGAATCTGAGGGAAAATTTTTATAAAATGTTTTACAGATGGCATTTAGATCCCAAGAAATTATCCTGTATGTATCCTAATGTTCAGCCAAAATGTTGGAGATGTGATAGTCTAGATGCTACATATTATCATGTTTGGTGGAATTGCAAGAAAGTCAAGGCTTTTTGGATAAAAATATGGTGGGTTATGCAGAATGTTTTGAAGAAAAAAATTCAATTTTCTCCACAATTGTTTTTATTGGGTATAGTAAAGGGTTTTACATTGGATGAAACTAAGTTGATATTGTACATGATAACAGCAGCGAGATTACTGATAGGTAAATATTGGAAAAATGAAGCCTTACCCACTATTGAAGAATGGACTTTCAAGATGGCCAGTTTTGCGGAGATGGCGAAGATTTCAGCATATTTAAAAGATCGCTCACAAGAGACTTATGAATGGGAATGGAAAAAATGGATAGATTATGTGCAAAAAAAATACCAAGTTAGGAAGTATCAAATTGTTTTTCATTGAAAGTTATATAGAAATAGAAATGTATGAATTGTGAAGAGAGAAAAAATTATAGGGGGTTTGAGGGGTTCAAGTTTTTTATTAAAAAAAAAGGGGATTTTGATGGGATTATATTCTGTGGAAGTCAGAGGGGGTGGGTCAGGGGGGTTTTGGGGGGGTTAGGGTGGGGAGGGAGGGGTGGGTTGGGGGGGGGGAAAAGTGGGGTGAAAATGTAATTGTAAAACTTTTGCAATAAAAAAAAAAAAAAGAAATCCGGATTTGCAAGGCTGCCTATATCCAGGAGCTTCTATGAGAAAAAGTGCTATGATCCACAATTTTTACAGATGTGGTGTGAATGACACAGAAACCAGGAAGAAGCATCTTGAAGGACCAAGTTCTGTGGAGCAACTTAAGCACCCTACACCTCTCACTAAGGGGACTGATGGAGGCAGTGCAGGAAAGCATTTCCGGTCCCCTTCCAACATCTGGCCCTCCGTCCATTCCTCTCTCTCCCTCTCTTGCAAAGATGATCTCAACCGTTTTGGAAGTCAGAAAGAGCCACGCCAAAACGCTCAGCTCCTGAGCCAATGTGGTGAACGGAATAGATATGCAATTTTTTTTTTAAAAAAAAGGTCTGGACAGGCAGACACTGAGAGAGACTGGATTTGTTACGTCCCGATCCACACATCCAGGGCTGTTTTTAAAAAAGTTGAGCTGGCAGCCACAAGGGTGTGTGAGACGCTCCGCCTCTTTCTTATGCGCAGTGCACATAAAAAAAAAAAAGAATTGCAACCACATCGTTGTGGCTACCAGCTCGATTTTTGTCGACCACACCCTGTGGAGACCCTCGCACACATCCCAAACCACGATCTCCGACTGCCTGTGACGCAGCAACCCCACTTGATTCAGTGGGGAGAAAAAGCCATGCTTCCGGCAGAAAGACGGGCATTTTCCTGGCAGGGACGAAACTTGCTGATGACCCCAAAGAAACCGAACCGCTTGAAAGTCGCTGCGGGCAGGAGGCAAAGGCCAAAACTCACCGTCCTCATCCGGAAGCTCCTCTGGGCTGAGCTCCACCAGCTCAAAGCTGTGCTTGATGCACCACTCTTGGGCCTTCTGCCGGCTGATGCCTACAAAGAGGAGAGGAAAGGCAGGGTTTTTTGCCAAGAAGGGCTCCCACCGCTCTGGGCACTGGTGGGAGAAAACTCCCTGGATGGGATGCACGGCTGAAAACTCTTGGAACGTTCTGGGGAAGGCTGCATGTGGACAATCTGTTCAGCGTGGGAACGCTGTCGCTGGACAGAGGAAAAATGCAACAGGTAACTCTAGGGTGATCTGCTAAACTGGAAAGGTGAAAATAAACTGGAAATGAACAGGAAGGCCTAAAAGGCTGTAGAGAGTCTCAGTCATCCAGGTTACAGTTGTCCCAAAGGTGTTTTTTCAGGAGGCAACTGGACTTTCTTGGTTTTTCTTTTGAAGACGTTTCGCTTCTCATCCAAGAAGTTTCCTCAGTTCTGACTGGATGGTGGGGAATGGAAGGATTTGTATTCCTTGCGGACAGCTGGTCATTTGCATCCTTTTAGAGGGTCCTTGAAGCACTTGGAGGTTTCCAGAAAAAATTGCAGACTAAAGGAACCATTAGCACTACTCAAGTGACCCTGAGGACATCCAGGTGGCCTCAACGACCCTCTAAAAGGATGCAAAGGACCAGCTGTCTGCAAGGAATACAAATCCTTCCATTCCCCACCATCCAGTCAGAGCTGAAGAAGCTTCTTGGATGAGAAGTGAAAAGTCTTCAAAGAATAACCAGAAAATCCAGTTGCCTCTTGAAAAAACAGCTTTGGGACAAACAGGGAGGCCTATTTCTCCATCTCTGCCCTTTTGGCCATCCTGTGCTCCACTCGGCCCTGCTCCTCCCCGCTGCCCCTTCCACCTTCGCTCTTTTCCTCCTCCAACTGCTGACCAGGTGCTCCCAGCTTGGTGCTGCACAAGACTGCTGCTGGGCACGTGCAGACTTTCCCCCAAAATTTGCACAGCCTTGGGAAGAAGGCCTCACAAGGGACCGAGCCCTGGTGAGGGGCAATAGCCACGCGGATGAGTGCAAGACAGCGAAAAGGGTAGAGATGGGGGAGACTGATGGGTGGGGGAGTTCAAGTGAAGGTGAGCATAGCAGGGCAGGAGAAGACTACAATCCTTGCCAAACAATGGCACAATCTTATCCTAACAACCGCAATTTGGGACTGCCAAGACTGCCATCTGCCATGTAGAGTGTGGTGTGTGATGTTTCACCTGATGATCTTTCACTTAGTGATGGAAATTCCGGTCCCAAATCAGGTCACTAGGCCAAGACTACTCCCATTCCGCGGGAAAACCTACATCCGTGATGGCGAACCTGTGGCACACGTAGCCATATCAGTGGGCACGCCAGCTCAGCTCTGCTGATTTTCGGGCCTTCTGGGCCCACCAGAAGTAGGGAAGCAGGCTGTTTTCTGCCTCCAGAGGGCCTGGGGGGTGGGGAAGGCCCATTTTTCTTTCTCACCTGGCTCCAGATCCTCTCTATGCATCTGGGGAGGGCGAAAACAGCCTTCCCGACTCCCTCGGAGGCCCTCCAGAGGCCTGAAACAGCCCACTTCCCAACTCCCGGTGAGACAGGAAGTGATGCTTTTTGTTGTCCCCAGCCTCCAGAGACTCCTATTGGTTGACAGGGTGAGAAGCTGGTCATTGCAGAGAATGTTGGCTTATATTTATCAAATGTTTTCATTTTTTTTTTTTTTTTGGTCAATTTTCTTTCAGGTAAACGTGGTCGTTCTTTAAAAACAATAATTCAATTGGGGAACCGTTCCACCATCTTGGGATGTTGAGATAACCCTGGTGTCTGCAGTTGCTTAGCTGGCCTAAGACCAGCACTGAGGAATTGTAACCCAGGAAGCAGCCTGTGGAGTCTAGCAATTCTCCAAAACCACAGAGCTGGCCAAGTCTCAGCTTCAGATTTTGAAAATATGGCCTTTCCAAGCCAAGCTGCTCCCTCTGTTGCTTCAGTCAAGCTTCACAACTTAACCAGAGTTTGTCATCACCTTACCATTTTCAGAGACTCTGTCACAGACCAAGATCATCACTCCCGGGAGCCAGTTTTCTATAAGAGAAAGCCACTGAGAGATGCTATCCAGCCCAGATATCTGTAAAAGGAGATACAAAGAGCTGGCTTCTTCACTGCAGGCTTTATGGAGTGTTACAAGCAAAAGCATATCCGGTTCTATAAAAATCCTTATAAAAAGGAAATCTTAGGAAGCAGAAAGGTTTGAAGGGAAATCAGCCACCTTAAGCTTTAGGTCAAAAAGTGACCCAAGATGTCTGTGGCTGAGAAGGGACAAGAACCTGGTGTAATGACCCTGTTGGAAGCTGGTTTGGAGGAGAGAAGGAGTTGGAACTTCACATAAAATCTGCAAATTTGACATCTATAGGCGAGCATCAACTATTACGGTAATGGCCAAAATTGTGGAAACCTTTTGGAAAAAGTGTATTTTCTAAAACTAGCTAATAACACCACTTTTTTGGGGAGTAGTACCATAAAATTATATATCAATGGAAAGATAATTTAATCAAGAACATAATGCAATAACTTTTATGAAGGATTTGCTATTAGAATAGCAGTTACAGTATAAAGAAGAAAAGTGAAACACATAAAAAAAACAAGATATACAAAAATTATCACCATAGAAAAAATGAGCTATACAAAAATTACCACTACGTCAGTTAATACTTAGTTGGGTTATTCATACTTAGCATTAATAACAGCCTTACAACATCTTCCCATGGAGTGAACCAAGTCTTTTACTTCTGCAGCTGTTCTAATGTGAAACCAAGATTGAAGGATGGCTTCTATTAACTGGGTTTTATTGCTGGGTCGCTTCTGACTAATAAGTTTCTTAAGTCGGCTCCATAAATTTTCAATTGGGTGAAAGTCTGGGCTATTCCCAGGCCATTCCAGCAGTGGAATAGAATCATCTTGAAACTCCCCCCCCCCAAAAAAGTGGTGCTATTAGCCATCAAACCTCAAAAATACACTTTTCCCAAAAGGTTTCCACAATTTTGGCACTGCTGTAGGACTCTTAGACCCTCTTAACCAACCAAGGAATAAAGGCACGGTGCAGAGTTGTTGTCCAGGAGTCTAAACACACTGCACAGTTGAACAGTTGCCATCTAGTACAAGATGATTTTGCCTACTTAAAGGTTTCATAATTTACAAACCATCACTAGAGAGCAAGCTATTACTATTGAACTTCGAGGAGAGTGTAAAAAGCACAACCACTCCAGGATAGGCATGGAGTGAGATTTGTCCGTAATTCTAAGCCAAGCCACTAAACTAGCTTTCTCCAAGGAAGAAAAGAGAGTTGGAACCGAAGGTGGCTTGTTCTGAAATTCCTGACTCCATTGCTTTCCTCTTCTCCTTTAATTGCCACTACTCGGGGACTATCAAGGAGTTGCAAATAACTGAGAAAGGCTCTCCTGTCCTGCTAAGGAGAGAAAACAGAGAGGTCTAGATAGAGAATCGCCAATTAGGATGTCAGGTGGTCCTTCTCTCTACAGAAGGAAAGCCTAGAGGAGGGGTCTCCAATCTTGGCAACTTTAAGCCTGGAGGACTTCCAACTCCCAGAATTCCCCAGCCAGCAAAGCTTAAACTTTAAGTCCTCCAGGCTTAAAGTTGCCAAGGTTGGAGACCCCTGGACTAGAACCGCGGCCACCAACTGGTGGTCCTTGGACCACTGGTGGTCCGTAAGAAAATTTTGGTGGTCCGCAGAAAAATTATTTGCATTTTTTTATATTGCGCTAAATCAGGGATTCTCAAACTACGGCCCCTGGAAGAGGTGCAATGAACGTTTGTGTTGCTGCAGAGAGTCTCCCCCTTCGGGGTCTTTTTGTGTGGGTCGGAGGGGGGCAGAAATTCCGACTTGGGATCTGCTTCGGTCTCTGGTGTGGGGCTTTGGGCTGGAAGGCTGGAAGGAAGTGCCACTGGTAGCAAAGAGCCGGAGGGCCTTGTTCCAGTGGGACTGCATCATGGCCTGGAACTGGCTGACCATCTCAGCCTGCTGAGCCTCCAGGCGCCGGTACCTGGCCTTGCACTTCCCCAGGTCTTCCCTCTGCTTGGAAAACCTATGCTCCTAGTGCTCAATGAGGTGCTTCTGCTGGGCCTCCTTCTTGGTGAGATCCAATTTGAACTGAGCTGTTTTGCCAACTCTTTCTCGGGGTGGCTGCTTAGCTCCAACTACTGCTTCCCGTTGGGGCCCTAAGGAGCCCGGGCGGGGAGGCAAGGAGTGGCTGGGAGGGGAGGGGTGAGTAGAGGCCTGTGAGGTGCCCCTCAACGTGAGTGACATCGAGTTGGCCACGCCCACCCATCATACACATGTAATTTTTAGGCATTGTTTACATTTAGATGCTTTTATGTGGAGGAAGAATAGTATCAAAGCCACCACAACGGAATGCAACTTTAATCTAAGCAAGTAGATTTCACAATTTTATACATTTGATAGAAACTATCCCATCCTTCATTCAGGAGGTCTGTGTTTCTCCTATCTTTTTTTTCTGCAACAAGATGACGGGGTAGGTTGGATTAGGAGAGTCTGACCCAAAGTGACCCAAGGAGTGTCTGTAGCTGAGAAGGGACTAGAACCTGGGCCTCCCAGTCCCAGCCCTGAACCACCAACCACCCTCCCTCTTCATACCATGGAGACCAAAGTTATGCTAAGTAGTGAAAGCTCTACAATCAGTAACATCCTACAAATCTCAATAAATCCTCAGAAAGTTTTGAAGAATAATGTATGCCAATGTGTATCTTTTCATGAAAACCAGAATTTCCCAACCTTAGCAACTTTTAGATATCTGGACTTCCATGAACTTCCAGATATCTTCCAGAAACTTCCAAAATTTCCCACCCACAAACAGATGAAGTCACTCTCCAAACAATGAATTGATTTGAAAGCAGAGGGTGCTTTATACTTGTAATACATTCATCAGTTCAATGAACATTACAGGTCACAGATGGCAGAACAACCCCTATACAGTGGTGGAATCCAAATTTTTTTACTACCGGTTCTGTGGATATGGCTTGGTGGGCGTGGCAGGGGAAGGATATTGCAAAATCTCCATTCCCTCCCCACTCTGGGGCCAGCCAGAGGTGGTATTTGCCGGTTCTCCGAATTATTCAAAATTTCCACTACTAGTTCTCCAGAACCTGTCAGAACCTGCTGGATTTCACTCCTGCCCTTATAGTTTCTGAACCAGAATGTCCATCGGGGGTGGGGGTTGGATTGGATGACCTCCAAGATCCCTTCCAATTCTGCTATGCTACGCTATGCTACTCTACATCCCAAACTGCAGGGCAACACTCACTGTGGTGCTGTCGAAGTAGAACAGGAAAGCCTGAACGGACTCGACAATTTCCGTCGTCACCTGAAACACGTTTGCCACCACGCAGAGATGGATGGCAGCCGAGTAATATTTATTGTCTATCGTCCAGGGGTAAAACCGAGCTCCGCTCTCTACGGCAATGTGCTCCGGAAGCTCTTCTTCTCCGGTGATCCCTGCAAGAGACAACAAAGAGACCTAAATAACCAGACAAGGAAGAGACCCTGGGAGGAAAGGAAAGGAAAAGGAGACTCACATCTGGAAAAAAAAAATCCCCTCGCCTGGTTTTAGGTTGATCCTTGAAACGCTTCATGGGCTGGGCAGAATTGTGGTGGATCTCCACCTCCATCCTCTCCTTCACAATATGTTGTTCCCAAGAACTAACTTTCATCTACTTTTACCAGCTGCCCATGAGAAGTTAGTTGAGCCAGCTAGCTAAGCAGTTAGTATAAATAGGCTTCCCCTTGCAACCCACACGAGGGTGTAAAAATACACCCGTTTTATCGTCCAGAATCTTGGGACCGTTTTGCTCAGATGGCCAGGCCTTGGGAAATTTCCTGCAGAACCAGGGAGGTACAACTCTTGCCCAGCCCTCGCATGATAATGACACCTTTCTATATCTGGCTCCAGAGAACGTACCCATTTTCGGATAGGCTTTCAAGCTTATGTGCCACCCCCCCAAAAAAGTCCTTCCCCAAACCCGCCATAATGACAAAAATAGTGGGTTGGGAAACTGTCGTGTCGTGGGAGAACTGCTCACTTTAATTTGTGATAATTCCAACCTTCGGGCAGGCCTGCGGTTTCACATACAAAAAGTTTTGGGGGAGAGAGAGAATCAACTGACGCATTTGGCAATCGCAATCTTTCGGCAGGCCTCCCAAGCTAACTTTTGATGGTTTGTGTTTTCATAGAGCACATGCCAGCTCGCTTACATGCCGGCTCCCAGCAACGAAACAGCTGGCCCCATATCTGCATACCCCTCCTCACAATCCGAGGCAGAGGAACACCTCTGGAATGCACAGATGTGTGAAATAAAAAAGGTAACAGCTGCTTCAGCCCAACACTTTTCCTTAGAGCCAAATTGAGTTAGAGGGCGAATCTCCAGTCAGGCACTTCCAGTGGTACCTCTGAGTTGTGCAACAGTTAACGACATGCAATCCTGCTCCATCTCCTTTGCCAACAAGAGGATGCCAGGGATCAATTCTCTGTCACTCACGCATCCTTAGCTGACCAGATTTGACATCTCCTTTGTTAATATCAGTGTACATGAACTTCATTAACATTTACTAGAATTACCGGTAATTCTCAAATTATGATCGGTCGCTTAGCCATTGAAAGAATAACAGAGATGGAAGGGACCTTGAAGGTCTTCTAGTCCAACCAACAGTTCAAGGCAGGAGCTTATACCATCCCAGTTAAATGGATCTTCAATCTCTTATTGAAAACACCCATGATTTCTGGAGATAAGCCATTCCACTGATTAATTGTTTGCACTGTCAGGAAATTTCTCCTTAATTCTAGGTTGGATCTCTCTTTGATAAGCTTTCCTTGTCCTGAGCCCAGGTGTTTTGGAGAACAGGGTTAGCACTTTTAAGACGATCCCAGTTCCATGGTTCCACGGCCAGCGGTCTGCAAACACAGTCTTGGTGTGCCTGGAGAGCCACCTGGTGGAATGAACCACAAATCCTTCTGCATAAGTACAAAGCAATGTGCCACAACTGCCAAAAGTGCCAATGCAGTTTTGGGTTGCATTAATAGGGAGTATTAATGTCAAAACTGTGGAAAGTGCTAGTTCTGCTCTACACTGCACTGATGAGACCACACCCTAATACGGGGCCTAATTCTGGTCAGCCCAGTGCAAGAAGGATGCTGAGAAACTGGAAAGAGCGATAAAGGGCCTGGAAGTTCAGTCTTATGAAGAACAGTTAAAAGGACCTGGGTATGTTCCACCGTTAGAGCAATAATGATGCATGGGGATGTGAGAGTTGGACACTAAGAATGGCTGATCCAAGAAGAATTGATGCTTTTGAACTGTGGTGCTGGGGTAAATTACTGCGTATACCATGGACAGCCATAGTAACTAACAGAGAGGTGTTAAATCGTATAAAACCAGAAATATCCTAGAAGATAAAGTCATAACTCTACGTCTGGTTTACTTTGGCCATGTCATGCGTGCAAATTCATTGCAGAAGGCAACAATGCTCGGAATGGTTGGTAGAACAAGACGACGGGGCAAGCAAAGACCTCGCTGGCTTGATCATATCAAATCTGATGTAAAGTTGAATATGCAGCAATTGAAAGAAGCTGCGCTTGAGAGGGTAGCATGGAGAGGAATTGCCTACAAAGCCACCAAAAGTCAGACACGACTTAAATGGTTAAAAACAACAAAACAATGTTCAACCAGAAGAAAAGGGGTTATGGGGAGACATGATCTCAGTCTTCCAATATTTAAATTGGAAATTAGATTGTCACAGGGAAGAAGGATTTATTCCCCACAGCCCCCAAAGATAAGAGCCCATGGAGGAATAGTGAGAGACTGAAAAAGTGAGAGACTGAAACGGGAAATATAGAGGAATTTCCTCGCTATGAGAGCTATTCAACAGGTGAACATCATCCTTCCTTCTGAAGTGGTGGAGTCTCTACCACTAGAGGTTTTCAAGAAAAAGTTGGGACAGCCATTTGTCCAGGATGATCTAAGAGTTGCTGCACTGGGAAGGGAGTTGGACTGGGGTATCTCTCACGTCCCTTTCAACCTGAGGATTCTATAAAAATTATATATCTATGACCTCGGTAGGGTTTTTTTTCTATGAGACTTGTGCAAAGAAAGGAAAATCTGTCATTCAAGCAGACACTATCCTTGCTTCATATAGTACACAGAAATGTTTAGCTTGTTTCCGAAAACATCAATAATTTAGTACGTGCATAGGTGCAAAACTCATTACGCTCTTTTTATTTATTTATTTATTTTATTTATTTATTTTTCAATTTATATACCGCCCTTCTCCCTGAGGACTCAGGGCGGTGCACAGCCAGAATTAAAAACATGAAATACAAATATTAAAAACAATTAATATATATATAAATTTGGCCCAAAAATTTAAAAAAACACAAACCAATTAAACATTTAAAAAAAATAAAAAATTTCTTCCTAAGCCAGCCCGGCTTGCTGGAAAAAGTGGGTTTTAAGGGCACGGCGGAAGGCACTGAGGTCTTGGATTCTCCTTATCTCTGGGGGCAACTGATTCCAGAGGGTAGGTGCCCCCACAGAGAAGGCCCTCCCCCTGGGGGTCCCCAGCCTATATTGTTTGGCTGATGGCACCCCGAGGAGGCCCTCTCTGTGGGAGCGCATGGGTTGCTGGGAGGTCGTCGGTAGCAGCAGGCGGTCTCCAAGATATCTAGGCCCTATGCCATGGAGCACTTTAAATGTGATAACCAACACCTTGAAGCGCACCTGGAAGACCACTGGGAGCCAGTGCAGCTCGCGCAGGAGTGTTGTTACATGGGAGCGCCAGGCTGCTCCCGTCACTACCCGCGCTGCTGCATTCTGGACCAGTTGGAGCCTCCAGGTGCTCCTCAAGGGGAGCCCCATGTAGAGAGCGTTGCAGTAGTCAAGGCGAGAGGTGACGAGGGCATGAGTGACTGTGCACAGGGAATCCCGATCAAGAAAGGGCCGCAACTGGCGAATCAGGCGAACCTGATAAAAGGTCCCCCTGGTTACAGCCGTCAGATGTTCCTCCAAGGACAGCTGCGTATCCAGGAGGACACCCAGATTGCGAGCCCTCTCTGTGGGGGCCAACGACTCACCCCCAATAGTCAGTGATGGAGTCAACTGACTATATCGGGATGCCGGGAGCCACAGCCACTCAGTCTCTTCCTTTTTAAGGGCATTATTTAAAGAGGAAGAGTAGCAAATAAAAGACACAAACCAAATGTGAGGAAAGAAAATGACATTAACTCAATCTGAGGTTTTTCCTCCTTCTGTTCAATTGTGTTTGATTCTCAGAGATTGGAGACTGCCTGGATAAGTCCCTGCAGGTTTTTTGGCAAGATTTTTGAGAAATGGTTTGCCCTTGCCTCCTTCCATGACTGATTCAAAAAACAGCCAGGAAGTTCTAGTGTTAAAGGAGAACTTCCCCAGGATTTCCCTGATCAAAATCGGATGTCTTAACTGCCACACAACTTCGGTATCACAATTGTATATGCGTGTGCGTGTGTGCGCCTTCAAGTCATTGTTGAAACCTAGCATTTACCTGGTCTAGTCTCTGCAGCTTTCTTGGCAAGATTTCAGAAGTGATTTGCCATTGCAAATCCAAGGTGGATGTTTCCCTAAGGTGGGGCCAGAACTCACGATCTCTAGCCTCGTGCCTTTAGCACAACACCAAACCGGCTCTCTGTTTCACAAACACTGAGTGCTAATTCCCTGATTTTCAAGAGCACCCCTCTCCTGAGATTTATCTTCTCTAATTTATCTTCCCCATGAAAAAACTAGCAATATATATTTCTTTCATCAACAGTTTCAAGTAATCTGGTAATGTAAGCTGAGCGCAAACGATATAGCAGTTTGAGACAGAAGAGAAACTGTCTAAGTTCAGAACAGATTAAGCAGTTGTTTATAAATAACCAGGGAAAAATGCAGTAATCATTAAAAGCCACTATGTGTTTATTATATCAGAACATGTTTAGTTACTAATTAATGGCTTAAGTGTATTTTGAGAGACTTTCCACCTCCTAGCTCAGAAAATGCATGGATGTTAATGGATCTATTGCTGCACAACTGTAACTAGTGAGCACAAAGGAGTGACACCAGTGGTGAAATCCAAATTATTTTGCTACAGGTTCTGTGGGCGTGGCTTGGTGAGCATGGTGTGGCTTGGTGGGTGTGGCTTGGTAGGTGTGGCAGGGGAAGGGTACTGCAAAATCCCCATTCTCTCCCCACTCCTGGGAGAAAGATATTGCAAAATCTCCATTCCCACCCCACTCTAGGGCCAGGCAGAGGTGGTATTTGCCGGTTCTCCGAACTACTCAAAATTTCCGCTATCGGTTCTCCAGAACCTGTCAGAACCTGCTGGATTTCATCCCTGAGTGACACCACATCGAATCTCCAGCAAACTACTATAAGCTTTCATCTTGAGTTCTGGACTTTGCTTGGATAAGGATATGGAGGAGCTTTATCAGACCAATAACTGGCAGGAGGATGGCAAGATTAAAGATTAAAAGAGAAGCAAGACACAAGCATTCATGCATTTAAGGTAAAAAAAATGAAGCCATAACCATTCAACAGATTAATCATTGAGCCAGCTGTCTACTACTTATACTAAAAAGATGAACAGCATCTCAGTTTGAATTCAACAATAATTTCTAGATCACAAAAGCGGTAGAACCATTTAGTGCTAATCAGACTAGATGGGAAGAACAGTGCCAGTTCTGGGACACTTATTTGATGCTGCCAAACTGGATTGTGTCAAGCAATAGTAACCACAACAGGATGTATTTGAAAATAAAATCCCATACCAAATGGCTGAAAGACAGGGGCATGACTAGCTTGTAGAAAAGGCAATGAAAGGGCGACCGTGAAGATATCTTCAAATATCTGAAAGGCTGCTATGTTTAAGATGGCAACAAGTGCCAATTGACACTTCAATAGGGCAGGATTAGAGCTAGGAGGTGAGAACTGAAAACTGAAAATGTATAGCACATTTCAACCAAAGATTTAAGAGAAATTTCAATAGCAAAAGCTATTGAACAACCAAAAATAGTGGGCTGTTATTCTTTGGCAGTCATTTTGTTCAGCAAATTTATTTGTAATCAATAAAAAATAAGGAATTTTATTTTAAGGAAGGAGGAAGGAAACGGGAAACTTGCACTGACCCCTCCTAGAGGATCCAAAGGCAAAATATATCAAATTTACACACCTCCCACCCAAGTGAGGCACTGAACATGTTCCAAGCTCCTCTAGCTTCCTTATCAGAACAAAAAGCACCTAACAACTTTTTGAGGAAGATCTGCAGGAAGCAGAAGCCAACCCAGCATGGGTTTCCCAATAAAGGCCAACAGCCCTCCTGCCTAGTCTCGAAAAGGAAGTTCCTCCTCTCCCACTTCTCTTCCCTCCCTTTGGGTGGGGGAGAAAAGAATCTCTTTCTGGCTAAAAAGCAAAAAAAAAAAAAAGCAAATTCATAAAAGAGGAATCTTGCTCAACAGAGCCTTGGTGGTGCAGCAGGCTAAAGTGCTCTTAAGTAGCACCAGCTGCCTGCAATTACTGCAAGTTCGAATCCCACCAGGCTCGAGGTTGACTCAGCCTTCCATCCTTCCGAGGTAGGTAAAAGGAGGACCCGGATTGTGGGCACAATTAGCTGACTTTGTATAAAATAGAACACCGCTTGGGGGGGGGGGCGAAAGCCCTACTAAGCAGGTATATACAAAAGTATGAAGCCGCCCTGAGTCTCCGGAGAAGGGCGGCATATAAATCGAACCAATAAATAAATAAATAAATAAACCTCTCATTAGGATGGTCCTAATGACCCCCAATAATCTGTAGGAGCAAGACTTTAGAATAACTTTAATGTCACTTTAAATGTACACTAATCGGCATACATTAAAATGAGATTTCCTTACATAATAGTAAACCACAAACAGCTTTTACTATTAATTTATCCCTCCTCTAATATGCCGTTTGTGTATTTAATAACTTTTAATTCAATTTAAATGCCACCTAGCCACCCAAAGCAACTGGTGTGTGTGTCTGGTGTGTGTATTTTACATATGTGCACACATATGTGCGTGCACATACACTGTCAGCTCAAGGCGGGGGAACATATCTAATATTCCGGCCTATCTGTCCGGCCACAACCCCCCCCCCCCCGTGGGCTGGTGTGGGCCGGGGGAGAGGGAGAGGGACTGGCCGGAGGGAGGCCCAGAGCTCTCTCTCTCTCTCCCTCCCTCCTGGCTTCTCGGCCAGCCCCTTCCCCACGCAGGCTCTCTTTGGCCGCCCCCTCCCGAGCTCATCCCGATTAGTCCAGGCCTGGCAGGGCTACATGAGGGATCTCACTGGTGGCCGAGAGCAGCTGCACTCTGCACATGTTCAGGGGCTCTTGGCTTAGAGGGGAACACCTGTCGCCGCGGGCAGGGCCAGAGCCGGGAAAGGGCCTCCGGGGAGCGACTCACGTTTCACCAGCTCCTCCCCGGGGAAGCCCGCCGCGCAGCTGGTGATCAAGGCGCACGGGACGGCCATCGCGCACTCCAGCGGTCTTGAAGGGCCCGGCGCTTCCCTTTCCGGTGCAGGCCCCGCCCTTTCCGGGCCGTACCATTTTAAACAACGGCTGGCCGGGGGTGAGGGAGGGAGAGAAGGAAGCGAATCAAGTCACCGAACGGCTGCAGAAAATTAAGAAACCCGTAATCCCAGAAGAACTGAGAGACGAAGCAGAGACACCTTTTTTCTTTCGCGAGCAGAAAGCGGATTTGGGTCCGGTTCACATGGCTAAGGCCTTTTCCTCCCCCCCTTCATAAGGGGCCCGTGGTCCGGGCCCGAGCCGCGCGTCCCGTTGCTAGGAGGCGAGGTCACGTGGCTGCCGGTGCCTTGCCGAGCGCTGGAGGGGGAGGATCCGCCATGGCGGGGGTGGCCGGGCCGGGGGTCGAGCTGGGCTGCGTCTTGGTGCAGGTGGGTCGAAGGAGGGCGCCTCCCCGGACCCCCTCGCGCCACTGACCGACCTGATGGGCTCCAGAGCCCCCACCCCCACCCCGGGGCAGGGGGGGGGAGTGCGGCCAGCCTAAGCCACAACTTGGCTAACCATGGTCTATTGCATAAACCACGATGGGCGGGGCTTTCACGGCTGGCCTTGCATAAATAGACCGTTGCCAAAGCGACCCTCTCGGCCCTTTTAAGTTTTTTTTTTTTAAAGTTTAAAAAAAAATATTTTTTTTAATGGTGGTTTGAATCTGGAAAGGCTGCCCTGAGCTAAAGCCGGCTTGTTGCCTTAATCTTGGTTAGTTAGGAAAATCCTTAGGGAGGATTCACACCCTGGTCAGCACTTCTTTACTCTCCTACCATCAGGCAGGAGATACAAAACGGGGGTCTCCAACCTGGGCCACTTTAAGCCTGGCGGACTTCAACTCCCAGAATCCCCCAGCCAGCTTTTAGAAGAAAAATGCAATAAACACGGAATTGATGCTCAGTTGCTGCACAGCCTCCTTCTAGCCTTCCGCCTTTTAATTGCGTTTTTGCATGGCCCTTCTCTGCCTTGTGTGTATCTCATATAGATTTAACAAATGTTTTCCTCTCCCATTTTAATATAATTTACAGATCCCTCAGAAGTTACTGTATTCCCTTTTTAATGTCTAACCTTAGCCTTCTGGTGAAGAAAAAGCAGATTTAGTAGGCATCTTCCAAAATAACTTGAGTGTCATCTGTCTTTTGGACTACTCTGGCAATATGATGCAGCTTAGAAGAGATGCAGCTTAGAGCTGATTAAATATCTAAATGGGAAATACAATGTACTAGTCTCCAATGGAACTATCTTTGGTTTGATTTCAGAAATATTCCTTTAATAGATGTAGAATAAATGTATATATAAATAAAGATATTATCAGCCAGGAGGGCAAATCTATTTTTTCAATCAGAGTTTTGTCTTAAAAACCACATGACTGACATTCAGAATGTTTCATACTTACTTTGGAAGATCCTACCTGTCTTGACAAATATATTATTTTCTGATAGTAGAAACCAATGCACTCGTGTCACAACTGCACAACTTAGCAACTAGAAACAACTAGGTAGCTTTTACCTACTGGGAAGTGAATCTACCTACTTTCTGATAAAAGTTACAGGACCCATGTTCCCTTGGTTCCAGAGACTCTCCTCAATTTTAGATGCACTAAGATTGTGCATCTAAAAATTGTATTAGTAACAGATTTTTCCAAAAGGATGCTGTTTCAAAGCATCATAACTACTAGAACGCCTGAAGAGAATGAAGTGGACAAGCTGGGTACCAGCCACTCAATTCTATGTTCCCCTTGGCTTTAATTGGCTCCATTTGCAGTGACATTTTTCTCAACCATAAGGAAATGAGGCCTCTGATCCACTAGTTCCAGAGATCACATGTCATATTGGCACCTGAACTCCTTTCTAAGAACGTTCTTTTTTTCCAATAATCTGTTTTATTCACAAAATTAAAATAGAAACTCCAAGGAAGAAAAAACAAACCTAAACAAGGGGGAAAACAAATTTCCACATTTTTAATTGATTAAATTCCCTTTCTTTGGCCTGTTCACACTTCAGGTGGCCAAGTCTACACTCCAGCAGTCTTGCACTTCTGCAGGTACAACTGGCAGGTCTGCAGGCCAAGGAGCCCGGCGACCATTGGACAGCACCAGCTTGCCAGCAAGGAGGCCTCCAATGCCCTGGGTGCTCTGCCTCACCCTTCGCCTTGGGAGCTCAGCTGAGGTTCAGGCCACCTACCTACCCACCTGTCCATTCTTAGCTCACAGGCCATACAGAGACAGATGGCAGGGTGGATTTGGCTCATGGGCTCTAGTAGTTCGTTGACCAGCTGATCTGGAACTTATCAAGTAGAGTAGAAAGGATTGTCTGTGTCCTCTATTTTTCAGCATTTTTCTTAGTAGATGAAGGGTAGAGAGGATGCTTATCAAATTTACAGATGACAAAAGATGTAGTGGGATAGCTAAAAACACACACACAAAATTTCACCAAAGTCACCAAAATTAGGGAAGGACCAGCATTTGAGGGTTCACGTCTACTTGACCAGATGGCAAAGGGGATTGGGAAAAAAGAGATGGACTGCTAGCCAGGAGATGTTGCCAGCTAGGTGTAAATAAAGCCCAAAGTGTCAGAGGCTTGTGGATAACCATATAAATCCTCAGTTTACAAGCATCCACTTAGCGACTGAAGTTACAGCAGAGCACCGCGGGGGTTCATATGACCAGGATTTGACATTCTAACAGCAGTCACTTCTGGGGCTTGGCAGCTAGGCTGCATTTATGGCCGTTTGGTGTCTTAACTGCATTTTGCTAAAAATTTATTTACCTCCAGTTCTCTACAAAACCTCACCTATAGCAAGCTGTTGGTTCACTTAACATCCACACATTCACTTAGTGGCACCAGGGATTCACTGAACAACTGCCACAAAATGGTCATGAAATCAGGCTACAGCCATGATGGGCATTCTCCATTGCGGTTGTAATTCAAGGACTACCTGTGCATCTAGCTATCGGCTTTTGTTAGATTCCTTCAGGCAGGGGAATAGTTAAGTCAGGGATGCTGAGCAAGCAATAAATCATTTGACTCTGTTTTTACTGCATCCCAAATTCTGCCATGGTTGAAGTTGTAAAAGACAGTTTGGAGGAAGGAATCTATTTGTGTAATTGCTTAAGCTAAAATGTCTTTGCATGGCTGAAAGAAAAAACAGCATTTTCTGTCTGATAAAATAAAGCAGGAGGGGGAAATCAGAAGAAACTCTTTGCAAATGAAGTTTGGTTGGTTGCTCCTAAGAAACGATAAGGGTACGTGATAGCGTAGATTAGAAATGTTAAAATATTTAAGTAGTTAAAAATGTTTCGAAGCAAGATTATTAACTTTATTGGCATTTACTCTCAGTTGAAGTACCGTATATATTGGAATGCAGCTGCACAGTAGAATTCTTCATATCCAAGTCTCATTGAGCGTCATACCTATTATTGGAACTGAAGCCTAAATCAATAACATTGGTATTTGAGTCAGACTATGTTGGTACAGCACACTAATCCATCAAACGCACTTAAGAAATTGCACATCATGCTAAGCCAAAGAACATGACTTAATTGGGTAGCCTTGTTGACATTATACACTGCAACACAATGGGGCTGTTTGATGTTGGTTCAGCCTTGGTGTTTTGTCAACAGTGGCTGAATATGTTAACCCGGTCATGCACACCTGCAGAGAGGGCCAGCAGGTAAATGCGGACAGGTGTGATGATGCAATCACACTTACACACTTTTCTCCAGCATCCTGTTGCAAGATCATAATAACATTTGTGTGATGATATAATTGTATGTGTGTGGTTATTTTAATTTGTGGACATCACTGAACCCAGCCTGGTGGTGGTTGTTTTTTTCCTGTCAAATGGTCTTGTTGGAGAATATGTGATACTTGCACTATCCCAACTCCAGCCCTGTAATTTGAAATGCCAGCGTTTGTCTCCCACTCGTAACATTCCAGAAGACTCTGAGATTTAAGCAGCCTGATACTTTTCAGTCTTAACTTCAGAGGTGCATTTATATTCATGTGCATTCAGTGCATGCTTTCTTTTCTAGGTTCAAGAAGATCTTCAACAGTTGAAGGAACAACTGCGAGGTTTCAGCCATGACTGGGAAACAGCAGATACTGACGTTCTAGAATCAGTTGTTGAAAAGGCAGAGAACAGACTGAGGGTAAGTTGCCTCTCTTTTAGTGGTAAACTACACGTCCTTGAGTTACAACAGTTCATTTAGTGACCCTTTCGAAGTTACAACGGTGCTGAAAAAAGTGACTTATAGCCATTGTTCACACTTACAACCGTTGTGGCATATCAATGGTCACATGCTCCAAACTCAAATGCGTGACAACCGTCTCATTATTTATGATCGTTGCGATGCCCTGGTGTCATGTGATCAACCTTTTGCGATCTTCTGACAAGCAAAGTGAATGGGGAAGCCAGATTCACTTAATGACTCTGTTACTAACTTAACAACTGCACTAATTCACTTAGATGTGTATCAAGAAAGGTCCTAACCTGGGTCAAAATTCACTTAACAGATATCTCACTTAGCAGCAGAAATGTTGGGCTCACTTCTGGTCATAAGTCAAGGACTACTTAGGGAGGGAGGGAGGGAGAGAGAAAGAAAGAAAGAGAGAGAGAGAGAGAGAGAGAGATATGCAGATATATAAAGAGATAAACATACATATTTTCTCTCTATTCCTGAACAGAAACATGCAGAAAACTATTTAAATGCAGTGAACAGATCAGTGCTAACTATTTTCCCAGCGGACGATGCAAAACCATCTTCAAGACAAATTTCCAAATGGTAAGAACATTCAGTTTGATTGGATAAATGTCTTTAAAGGGTAGAATTTGGCTGCTTTTAAGGAGTCAAAGATAGTTTTCAGAAGCCACTTCCAAACATCAAGTCTTCCGCTTCCTGGGAAGGATTGGACAAGGAGTTGACTGAATTCACATGACACTGAATAGCTGCCTGGTGCTGCCTGATGCCTTCTTTCTGAAGTTCTGTGCTTTGGAAATGGCAGCCCACACCTTATTTTGGTCTTACTGGGTTGTTCATCAGAAATTTCTGGCTGAGAATGTCTCCAGATTGAGAACAAAAGAGCCGGTAGCGCAGTGGTTAGAGTGCAGTACTGCAGCTACTTCAGCTGACTGCTAGTTCAGCAGATCAGCGGATCAAATCTCACTGGCTCAAAGTTGACTCAGCCTTCCATCCTTCCGAGGTGGGTAAAATGAGGACCCAGATTGTTGGGGGCTATTTAGTATACTGTCTTTGGTGTAAGCTGCCCAGAGTCCTCGGAGAGTGGGCGGCATAGAAATATGATTAATAAAATAATAAAAAATAATAAACCATCGAACATTCTCTCTCTTTCCCTCCTGGGAAGACCCAAGCATCTTGCATGCAGAATGGCAAGCCTTAAAACAAGGTGTGGATGGTGCTAACTCACTTGCACACTAGTTTTGGGGGACAATCTGTGACAATTCGCCCTGGCCAACTCACTGCAGGACAAGAGTTACACTAATATCAAAGAACTGGCGGAATAGAATCATTAAAGAAAGGATGCAAAAGGAGGGGCAGAATGAAATACGAATGGCAAAAGTTAAAATAAATTTATTTTAAATAATAAAATTGAATTTGTAAATTATCCAAAGGCGAGTTTTCCCATGGTGAGTTGGCTATGATGAGTTGGCTGTGGCGAGTTGGTCAAGTTGTCCCATTCCCTTGGGGGAGCTGTGGCTGGATGTAGAGAAGTAATCAGGCTTGTGTTGGGCAAAACCCTTTCTTGTCTGGACTCCTCAAATATCTGTAGCTGCTTATCTGTGGCTGTTGAATAAGATGAAAGAAATAGTCATGGTTTATTCAGCCAATTCCGTATTTATTTATTTTAGCAGCTCTTGCAGTGGCCACAGGCTTCGCTTAAACAAATTAGGAACAAACCAAGAAACCACAAATTGATGTACATTCACATATCATGCCAAGCTATAGACTAAAACAATGTCCACAAGAAATTGTGCTTTCATATTGTGGTTTGCTGTTGTTGAAGAAAGCATGATTTATGTTCACTGGCCATGTTTGCATGTGGTCAGTCAAAACCAAACTACAGTATATTACATCTTAGAGTATCTGTAAACCCCAGCAAATATCAGTATATATATGTAGTCCTCGACTTACATCTGTAATGGAGCCTGCCCAGGATGGTTGTAAGTCATAATGGTCAAAAAGAGCTGGTCATCTCAGGCAACCTGAGTTTATGACCTTTTTTTATAGTGGTTGTTAAGCAAATCACTATGTTCATTCACTGAATCTGTGGCCATTAAGCAAACATGGCAGTCATTAAGTGAACCTACTGTTCGCCATTGAGTGTTTTTGCCAAAATCCGGAAGTAAACACCATTTTGGGGGCAAAAACATAAATTGGGGTCACATGACCTTGAGACCATGCAAACAGTCATAAATTCAGGCCAGTTACTGAGCATTTGAAATGTGGACATGTGACGGGGGTGCAGCCATCAGAACTGGGTTATAAATACCTTTTGGTGGTCCATCATAATCTTTAACAGTCACGTAAGTGACCAGTTGTAAGTCAAAGACTACCTGGAGCATTAATACCTTTCTGTGTGACTTACATTTTATCCTAATTACAGTTAAACCTCAACTCACAACCACAATTGAGCCCACAATTTATGCTGCTAAGTGAAACATTTGTTAAGTGAGTTTGCTCTATTTTACAACCTTACTTGCCCCAGTGGTTAAGTGAATCATCTCAGTTATTAAATTAGCAATACGGTTGTTAAGTGAATCTGGGTTCCCCATTGACTTCGCTTGTCAGAAGGTCACAAAAGGGGATCCCAGGACACAGCAACCGCCATAAATAGGAACCCGTTACCGGTTGTAAGTGTGAAAAGTTACTTTTTCTGGTGCCGTTGTAACTTTGAACAGTAAACGAACTTGTAAGTGGAGAACTACCTACACTGAATTTCTTCTTTGGGGGATATAAAAATAAAAGGCCACCTCTTTGGCCTGCTTTCTGATTCCATTCTCTTCCCAATTTAGGGGAATCCCCTTGGAGCCTCCTCAGAAAGAAATCTCGTTCCCCAAGATGCCGGTGATGGCCCCTCCTGGCAGTGCAGCCCTGCCTCCAGCCTCCTCCTTGGGCTCAAAGGTTTGAAGCAGCCGATGTCTTTAATCTTGCCAGGGATCCCGCCGTCTAGTTCTCCTCCCAAGTGATCTCACTCCGAGGAAAGGCCCACTTTGGATTTTGTTCTGCAGCCTAGAAAACAGGTTGCGGGGCAGGCTTCCTCTTTCCCTAGGGGCAAAAAAACAGAGCCATAAGGTTTAGGATGATGGCCTGGTCTTTTTAGTAAATCAAGGTGGCTTCTTCACAAGCCTCCCCTGATTTTCTCCGTACCGCAGAGATAGATGGAGGGAAGCGACTGGCCCACGATCCCTAGTGAGCTCTGACACAAACCGGGACTTGAAATGGAATGTCTCTGGTCCCAGTGCAGCAACTTAACCCCGTGTTTCTCTGCCTTGGCAGAGAAGATGCATGGCCTTTAATAACCAGAATTCCTCCAGCAGCAAAACTGGTCAGGTAATTCTGGGAGTTGAAGTCCACCTACTTGCAAACTGCCAAGGCTAGGAAAACCTGCCTTAACCACTGCATTGCACCAAGAACACCAAGTCTTGGCCTGGATCAGCACAGAAAGAAGAGGAAAACAAAGCTAATCCATTCGTCCTGTAGGCTTCAATTACTCTTAGGAGGGTGGAGGTTCGTTCTCTCAGCTTGTGGGTTAGTTTCCAAACATTTCATTGCCAGGCTAGATAACACGTTCAGCGGAATTTAGGGGATGTCAGGGTTGGTGTTCTTCTGCTTATAAGGGCTTTGTGTGGTCAGTAGGTCTTGTGATGGGGAGGTCACATCAGGTGAGGGTCATGTCAGGTGAGGGTCTTGTGATGGGAAGATCATGTCAGGTGAGGGTAATTGGGAGGATCATGACCTATTACAAGACCCTCACCTGATGTGACTTCCCTACTGACCAGGTGAAGCCCTTATAAACAGACACTGACATCTCCTAAGCTCTGCTGAAGATGTTACCTAGCTGGTAACGAAACATTTGGAAACCAACCCGCAAGCTCAGAGAATGAACCTCCACTCTTATCCTCCAGCTGACCTTCAGGTATTTGTCACTATCACAATCTTACACTTATGTACTCATAATGACTGGAAATTTTGAGCTTCGTTTTATAGAGTGTTTTCTTTGACACTAAGCCCATCAGTCTTAGCGTGGGGAGCAGCATTAGCAGAAGACACAAGCATGGCTGAAGACAGGGCAACTGATGGTGTTGGGCTGAAAAGCATGCAGGGCCTCCGTAAAGGATGATCTGCCCATTCCCGAATGGCAGTTGAGTTCAAGAGGGGAAGGAGCAGCAATGGGCCCATCCAGGTTCCCCTCAGAGCATATGGACCAATACCTCCATGGTCCCTTCTAGCCCTCCAAGTCTATGATTCTATATGTGTCGTTGACCTATGAGGGGGTCTAGTTACTAACCTCAGGAAAGGAAATGGAAGCCTGTGTAGCCAGCTGTGATCTTTGGCTCGTTGAGGATATTCTTTATTATTACAGGTAGCCCTCAACAATTGAGGCAAAATTTCTGTTGCTAAGCAAGGCAGTTGTTAAGTGAGTTTTGGCCCATTTGATGACATCTCCTGCACAGTTGTTAAGTGAATCACTGCAGATGTCAGTTACCCGGTTCTTAAGTGAATCTGGCTTTCCCATTGACTTTGCTTGTTGAAATGTGTTTGAATATTAGTAGCTCGGGTTGGTGGTTAGGCTGAGATAAACAAATGTAATGCTAATCTGTGCCAGCATTCCAGAAAAACCCAACTCCAATTAAAAACTCCGAGACAGGCATTTTCTCAAAGTTCCCATTTATTAGAGTAGGTATACTGGCACATCTGGGAAAATCCGAATCTGAGAGTTCCAGGTTTTCCCGCAGTAACTCAAAACCCCCAAAACCATCCCCTCACTCATCAGTCTGTCACACAGTCCAATCACCATCCGTCCCATCTCGAGACATCACTCCAACCACTCCTTCTCCAGATGCAGGATTGTCCTGACCTTGACCGAAAGGAAGAATGCTATTTTGTCTAACTATATTCCCTCTACTAAATCCCCCCTCCTACTTTCCCACATACGAGAAAGTGGCAGCGTGGAAGCTTCCGGGGCTAATGTGCAGGGGTGAAATCCAGCAGGTTCTGACAGGTTCTGGAGAACCGGCAGCGGAAATTTTGAGTAGTTCAGAGAACCGGCAAATACCACCTCTGGGGCCAGAGTGGGGAGGGAATGGGGATTTTGCAAATATCCTTCCCCCAGGAGTGGGGAAGGAATGGGGATTTTGCAGTATCCTTCCCCTGCCACGTCCATGCCAACCAAGCCACACCACGCCCACTAAGCACGCCCACAGAACCGGTAGTAAAAAAAATTGAATTTTACCACTGCTAATATGGCTTCCAAAGCTGACAATCTGCATCACACAGACAGTACTTAAAAACCAAAGACTGTAGCTCAGTAACAACAGCCAGCCAATCAAACAGTCTGAAATCAGACCATGACTCAGAAATATCTGAACAAACAACATTCAGACTAATTTGCGTCTCATAAAAAGGTGTTTAAAGACCAGTGTTCTGACAGACGAGCACAATTCAAAGCACACTGACAATGTCTCTCGAATGGTGATGAAACGTTTGCCACCAAATTTCCAAGCTCGGAGCTCAAACCAACAGCCTGACTTTGCTTGTCGCAAAAGGTGATCACATGGCCTCTGGACACTGCGACCGTCATAAATATGAGACAGTTGCCAAGCATCTGAATTTTGATCACATGACCACGGGATTGCTGCAATGGTTGTAAGTGTGACAACGGGTCCTAAGTCACTTTTTTCAGTCTAACTTCGAACAGTCACTAAATCAGTGTTTCTCAACCTTGGAAGCTTGAAGATGGGTGGACTTCAACTCCCAGAATCCCCCAGCCAGCAGTGCTGGCTGGGGGATTCTGGGAGTTGAAGTCCACCCATCTTCAAGCTACCAAGGTTGAGAAACACTGCACTAAATGAAAGGCTGTAAATCGAGGAAATCCAGCTGAGAGATAGAGGCCTCCTGCCTGTCCTGAGCTTCTGAGCACAGAACAGATTAGAAATCTGTGAGAAGACAAATGAAACATTTCCCAGCTTGAAATCAAGTTTCACTGAGGCCCATTTGTGAGGATCTACATTCTTTCGCAGAGCCTTGTTGGAACTGAAACTTTGGTGTGAAATATTTTGAGACCAGGAAAGCTAGAGAGGACCTGTAGCAAATTCTGCCCAGATTTAAGAGGAGGCAGCCATGCTTGTTCCTTACCCACCAGCTGAGGGGTCATTTCCAAAGTAATCTTTCCAAGAAAACTAGTAGGAGAGATTATCTTCATCCTGTCAAGGAAGCCCAAATGTTTTGCTGCCTGTCCTTTGGCAGAAGGAAGTTGTGGGAGCTTCATCCCTGGAAGCTTTCAAGAAGAGGCTGGACTGCCATCTGCCAGATATGGTGTAGGGCCTTTTGCTCAGGTGGGGGGTTGGACTAGATGACCTACAAGGTCCCTTCCAACCCTGTTAATCTGTTTAATTTTTTATTTTTTTAAAAATTTGATTTATATGCCGCCCTTCTCCGGAGACTCAGGGTGGCTTACAATGTGCTCAGCAATAGCCTTCATCCTTTTGTATATTTATACAAAGTCAGCTTATTGCCCCCACAACTGGGTCCTCATTTCTCCTACCTTAGAAAGGATGGAAGCCTTGGCGAGATTCGAACCTGCAGTAATTGCAGGCAGGTGGTCTTAATAACCAGCTTAATAACAGGGTGCCTTAGACCACTGTACTACCAAGGCGCTTAATGGTCAATGAAATCACACATTCTCCACAAAATCATCTCTTCCACATCAAGATAATTTGTATTTTGTATGTTAACTCCTGAAGCTTCTACTTTTAAAATGAAAGCATTATGTTTTTTAACATAATAAGTACATATGAGGTTATTCTAAAAAGTTTTCTCTCCCTGTAAGTAAATCCTTTCTCGGTCCTTATGGCGATCAAAATACCTGGATCTATTACATCTGGATAATATCCAAGATGTCACTCCCTTTAGAATCCGAATTTTCATTTCTTTAGATATTATGAATGTGTTGCTTGTTGTTCATTTATTTTGAACAATATTTTGTGTCCAAAATAATTTGCCCAACAGTGGATAAATTCGCACAGGCAGGTTCTGTAAACTTTTCTTAATCAACCACTCGGTTACATGGATGATAACAACTCAGTTGTGTGAGCCTGTGATTGCAGAACTCACTGGCAGGAAAAACATTTGGGCAAGCCAAAAAGGAACAAAATCTGATTTTTCAATTACTTCCCAAGTGAAATTCTTTGGGTGTGTGTGACCTCAGTAAGCTAAGAACGAGTTGGAGGGATCCATTTCGGTTCATTCACTTTGAGTGAGTTCTTTAAAAGAATGTTAAAAGCCCAGAATTTTTAGCAGTGGTCTCCGGTGGGTTTGGCGGGACTGTTTTCAGTTGCTGATGAAAGCAGAATTTTGCTAAACCTGCGGCATTCGCTGGAGAGTTCAGAGTTAAGTGAAAGGTGGAGAAAAGATGGAGAACTGCACCTCGTTCCTGCTGATTTCTCCTTTCCTCCCTCACCACAAGCTGCCATTCGCTGTTGAAGAGTAGTTTTGTTGACTTTCTAGCATGGGGAGTTCTGATTTTAGCTGTGATTGTTGGGACAAGGAAGTCTGTTGGGATTCCAGAGAGTTAGAATGCTTTATACACAGAATCACAGAGCTGGAAAGGGACTTTGGAGGTCTTCTAGTCCAACCCCTGGCTCAAACAGGAGACTTTATACAATTCCAGAGTGGTGGCTGTCCACTCTCTTTTTAAAAGCCTCCGGTAATGGAACTCCCACAACGTCAGGAGGCAAGTCGTTCCACAGGTTAATTGTTTTCACAGTCACAAATTTTTTCCTTAGTTCTAAGTTGCTTCTCTTCTTAATTAGTTTCCATCCATTGTCCTGCCTTCTGATGCTTTGCTTTGCTTCCTTCTAGAATTTATAAACTGTTCCAGTCTAGGTAATTCTAAGCAGTGT